GGGGGGGGGGGGGAGAGAGAGAGAGAAGGAGGCAAGAAGAATTCAATATCTTATTACAATATTTACGTGGAAGCCGATCGCATTCATCGAGATTAACAAAGATAGCGAAAAATACATAGGGTGTACCACAACATTCGATGGATCAGGAACTTGATCATCGACTGAGCTGGAACTTGAAACAGCTTATAAGATATCTGATCCTCATGAAGAAAATTGAATTGTTGGTAACATTCAAATGGCCACGGATATCAGGATGATAGGAAGATAATTATTTTTTTTTATATATATAGCTAATTAAAAATAATGAATGACATGGTACACCCTGTACATACGACGAGCACGTAGACAGCGACATGTAAAACTTACATACGACGAGTACACTCGACTAACCTTACCGACAGCCACCTTAGGTCACGCGAGATAAACAATTACCAAGCTTATTAATTAATTTGACGGATGGCTGGTGAACGGATGATTTCGAACGAGGATATCAGGATGGCGTGACTACCCTTACCTTGGCTATGACATGCGGATCGATTGCCAGGATTACGATAAAGGGGTATCCGTTGTCACTGAACAACGCCTGTATGGCATCCAATACCAAGAGTACTTTATCCTGCTCACAACTGTCAAGTCCATCTACGATAATGACCAGTCTGCTCTGTTGAGCCGTAAAGCTGTCCAAGCACTTGACCTGCCATGAATACAATTAAACGGTGACGTCAAATAAAAAGGATAAATTGGTCCGTAATGGAGGACCCAATTAATAATAAGATACTTGCCATTTCAGTCATAAGACTGACTTCACCTCTTAGTGTCTGTATGAAACCCTCGCTCTTTAATGTCTCTAATTTCGCAATGCTTCTCTGAAGATGTCGTCTCTGTGAGAAGATTAACGCCTTGAGTATTCTGCTCCAGGTATATAAATTTGCGATCACACTAATTGCCAGGACCAGAGCGACAGTCCCTAGGATAATGTGAGCCGTGAATTCGTCGATCTTGTGTCTGAAATGTTTAGAATGATCGTTTTTATTCTGGCTTTATTCACCAGGTGGAGTATCGTCAAGTTAAACAGGTAAGGTAACTAGCCTGGAATTGTTTATGCCGATGACATACACCGTGAGTATAGAAATGCCAACGAGGAAACTGCAGAAGCAAAATTCAAAAATGATAACATGCGGCAGACAACAGAGATGCCTCCATTTCCAGGAGGAAGTAGACTTCGCTGACTTCGGCCGGAAAGCCCTGTACAGTCTTGTTGTCAGGGATCCATATTCAGCTTCAATGGAATCGTATAGAGATCCCACCATTTGGACAACAGCATTTTCACCAGCTGCCGTGGTACCCACACGAGTCTGATCCGTGAAGTAAAACTTTATTGGTTGAGCAGCCAAGCTGTCACTGACCTGAGCACCAGGAGGATGGCAAAAGGTCACCTGGAGCAGCAGCTTCAGTGAATTTAATTTAGTGGTAAGAGCAACAGTGAAGTTGTACGGCCAGTACCAATCATACCTACAGAAGATGCGACCCAAGGAATAATAACGATCAGTTTAAAGGAATTGTATTGAAATCTGATCGAATAAAAGGAAAGGATTAAGTCCAGATGAAATTACCTTTGATTGGCATACCAGATTAACACGAGGAAGACATAAACAACTGTGATGAGAATGAGACCAGAGGCAAGACCCACTATCCAGGACTGAACAGCCAGTCCCACGATGACACCCATCAATAGAGACAAGTGTGTAACTACTAGGAAAAGTAAGGATGAAAATTGGAACACCGGGTCGATCCATTGCCTTGCGAAATTCTTCATCTCCTCTGAAATAACAAATCGTGTGAATGATATCTAGTCAGGGATCAGGAGAGCATCGTGGAGTACCTTCCTCAGGATGATCATACCTTTAAGCTTGTTCAGGAGGAATGACTTGCCTGATCCCCATTTGGCATAAAGTCCAACAGTGATAGGGGTGGACAAGGACGGTTCGCTAAGTATATCAGCCAGGGCGCTACTGTACAGATCATACCCCAGCATATTTTCATTATCCTCATTCGTATTAAGTCGCCCTGGATCAGAATAAAATTCAAAAGTCAATTGAGCAATAGATATTACGGTTACGACACCCGGTGAATAATATGAGAGACAAACGTACGAGCACCGAATATCTGTCCCAGGATGGTCTTAGGATGATTCACGTCAATATTATAGGGTGTCTCGCCTTGCCTATTGGGCCGATATAACAATTGACTATTCTTTGGATTTCTCAAAAGTATCTCGACGATGGCCTTCGACCTGGCCCTCATAGCAATATGCAGGGCAGTGTCACCCTTCTTATCCGTAGCCGAGACTTTTGCCTTTTTATCCAAAAGCAATTGTACTATTTCAGCATTGCGAGACCTGACAGCCCTGAGTAACGGTGTGTCCCCGTCTTTGGTCGCAATCTCCAGGTCTGGATTGGCATTCAGTAACAATTTCAATATCGCCGTATTGCCTTTCTCAACAGCTATGTAAGTCGCGGTTTTCTTATCCTAGAACGTGCAGGTTATTTCGATTAGTCACAGGTTTCGCTATTTGTCTATCCATACGGCAACAATATCTCGTAGATTGTGACAGATTGAATGGTGCAATTATGAACTGAACTCAATTCGATTACCTTTCCGGCGATGTCGACGTCCGCATATTTCTTCAAGAGTGACTCTACGACGCCTCTATGGCCACCCTTCACAGCGTGAATAAGATTAGTATCCCCAGCCCTGTCCTGGATATTGATATAAGCGCCAGCATTTAAAAGGGCATTGGCTATCTCGTGGTACCCTTCGCGGCATGCAATTGCCAATGCCGTGCAGCCATCCTTATCTAACGCGTTCACGTTAGGACGATGTTCCAGTAACAGCATTACGACATCCACGTGGTTTCCAAGCGTAGCCACGAGAAGAGCCGTCCACGAGTACTGTCGTTTAAATGAAATGAAAAAATATTACAGATGTCCTTGTGATCGACAACGATCGCGTTCCTTACCATGCCTGCAGTGTCGACATTAGCACCGGCTTTTAATAGAGTATCAACTATTTCAACATTTCCTTTACGGGAAGCCCAAATCAACGCAGTGGTACCGTACTGAAACGTAGATTATTGAATTATGAAATATCATTTGACCAGGAGGGTCGAGTGTATCAATTAGTGACTACCTTATCTCCCACGTTGACCTTAGCCCCGTGAGCAATAAGATCTTTCGTAATGTCGGAATATCCTCTGCCTGCGGCCCATAGTAGAGATGATATGTGAAAGTTCCCATGGGCATTGACGTCTGCTCCACGTGACAGAAGCAGCGACGCCGTTTCTGATCTACCCTTATACGTCGCCCACATGAGAGCCGTCCAACCGCCCTATTGGCATATATGTATTTATGATAAAAGAACAAGCAGGCTTTAACAAACAAATAGAGTGTATTTGATTTTTATGAAAAATATACCATGTCACGGTGCTCTGGATCGGCTCCATGTTCAAGTAATTCCAAACAGATCTCTGTGTGACCTTCTTTAGCTGCGCACAGCAATGCTGTCCAGTTATCCTATATAATGAGTTTAAGATACTGATTTGTTTTATAATTGAGCATTTTTTTTAACTCTCAAATTAAAATACGAACTGCATCCTCAGCGTTTACGTCGGCACCATGATTTAAGATCTCCCGTACAAATTGTATCTTCCCTTTGGATGCTGCGTGTATGAGGGCTGTGCTGCCATTCTGAGGATAAATTACATGGACGATGATGATGATGATTTTAATGATAAATTTGATATTGAATTTTGATACGATGTAAAACAGCTGATCGTGGTTACTTTCATGAAAATCAATGATACTCACGTCGTCCCGGTCGTCCACCTGCACTCTCTTGTTCTCCAAGAAGTTCTGTAGACCCGTGAGGTTGTCATCGGTGATGTAGCTGATGAGTGAGCGATAGCACAGCGAGACCATGGAGTCCGTACGATGCAAGGTCTATGAAAGAAGTGAGATGCAATTGATTAGGGAAAAGAAATTACATCTATCAATGATCAGTAATATAGATCAGACGTTAGACGTCAAAAAATTTGGAAATTACAACAAAAGCAAAATATCCAAATCGACACTCGTCTGGATGGTGATAAAAAGGGAAACTAAAAAAAAATTATTTTAAAGTCGCAGATCGATAAACTGCATCCAGAGTCCATGATGAATTCACTCGTTGGGTCACTCACACAAAAGCGTAAAACGTACGTTGAGCGAGACAGTGAGGCTGTATGAAGTTGCTACATGATGCAGCCAAGATATAGCAGGAAGCTGCATTTCCGTGCACAGTGTATCACTTTCGTCGAGAGATGCACTTCTTACTGAGAGAATAAAAAAAAAAACGGAAACCACGTTCAGTATAGAAAAAATGAATCACACGGTTGTCGAGTAGCGATAAAAATAAAGAACGTGTATCCGTAAACCGATGGTAGCCAAAGATGCGACGCAGTTCGAATAAAAGACGCTATCTCCTTTCTTATCCCAAGAGAGTTAGAAGATGCTAGGACTTATAACGATGCAGAGCAGCACGGGCTGCATCGCTTTCGTTCTGTCTTTGAACTCCTGATCATCCTTTTGGTGTCTCTCCCAATACTCCCGATGCCGAATCGAGACTCTTGAGGATTACGAAATCGACAATTAACGGCCGAGCGTGTACTTCACGTCACAAGCCGATCGTTATTGCTGTTAGGTGGCACACGGGGAGCAAACTGTTAGACGTAGTTAGTTTTGTGTCTCATGCCAGAGCAGTCAGAGGCACGAGGAAGTTCCGTGCTTGTTAGGAAGTACATGAAGTTGAAATGACACCAGCGAAAAATTGCGTGCTGAAAAATACGAGACAGAGCAGGAAACATTATATGGAAGGAATGAGAGATAGGATTTAATAAACGGATCAGAAGTGACACGAGATTTTGGGCCTGAAGGGACTAACCGTCTGGGAATGTCTTCGTATGCCAAAGTTGAACTTGCGGCCAGTGCCATCTGACGCAGGAGCGGTGAAGGTGAGCGTCGGTACATGAATATGCGGAAAATGCGATCCGAAGGTATGATGGTGATGATGATGATGATGATGGTGATGACTGTAATCATCTTCGTTGTCAGTTGGTTCAGCGATGGTACTTTGATGATGAAATCCATTAACCCAATCGGGTGGGTCGGGTATATGAAGACGTAGAAAGGATAACCTCTTCTTATGACCACGTGACGTGTCGTCCAAGATGGCGTCGTCGCTTAGATTCGTAGAGCTTGACAGATTCGAGACTGTCTGACTCCTGTAGATGATGTCTTCAGCTTCCGGTTTCACGGGTAGTAACGATGGTGGGACTCCTGGGAAAACGCCGACCAGACTGGGTGCGATGCTCGAGCAGATGGCGACGTTGGTGATGCTGGTTCTTCTCACTGGAGTGACTCCAGTACCACTTGTTACGTATGAACGACCTGGACTAGCCTGCTTATAAGGTTTCTGACCTAGGTCTTTTTCTATACTCTTTGGTACTGATCCTCCAGGTTCATCCTTTGCTGCTTCTCCTGATAAATCATTCAGGGACTCATCGAGCTCACCCTGCACTCTCTCTTCCTGGGTATGATTCCGAGCCACTACTTCTTCCTCGTTCTCTTTATTTTCAACTCGTAGATGATTTCTCGAATCTTCGTTACTCTTAGCACGACCTCTCGGCATGGCATTCTTCGCCGAAGATCGACAACCTCTACGGCTGAAACTCTTTCGGTCCAAGGTTCCGCTGGGATATTAAGAACAGTCACGTATTTTTTTATTTTCATTATCTTCAGAAAAACGTGATAAGCTATACGGAACGAGATTGGTTACTGAGAATTTTATAAACGTAGAATTTACAACAATTAATACTATTAGACCTATCTAATCTAATCTGTATCATTTTGGACAAAAAAAAATGTAAGACCAATTCAACAACCTTGCTGCAGACGAGCTTCTTGTGATCTTCAGAGTGTCATAAATCATTAAAAAATTATATTCAAATAAAATTCCCATTCTCTGCAAAGACGATCATTACGTCAATGAATTATTCCTTACCGAGAGACTGAGACTTTTACGTCGAATCATGGCTTCGAATCTGGACATCTTACGGATCGGATCCTCTGCCATAGCGAGATTTGAATATATGACCAAAAGCTAAATACTCAATCACGATCACAATTATAATTCTAATATGTACTACAATGGACGTGATACCCTTTTATAGTCTTCTGCAAAGACGAGATAGGATATCTCACATGAATATCGGATAAGGACGCATAGGAAGCCGCGCGCTGATTTGCTCAGCAGAGCACACTGTCACGATCAGAATAAAGAAATAAAATAAATGAAGCTGAAAATAGTCAACAACTGATTAAAAAAAATGGTTTGACTGACATGATAAAATCTAATGATAAAGTATTCCGATTTCATTCTACTGATTTTTTGTATGGTAATGAAGCTACCGACCCGTGATAAATTACTGAGCTTGAGCCTCTTGGCCATGATGCACTTTCAGATCCTTTGACGATGATCACCTGCTCCAATTATAATAAGTCGACGAGTGCAGATCTTCCTGGATAGTGCAAAGGACGGAGCCTTGACATCCGATACCGAAGAGACTGAAGTAGCGTGAGCGTCGCGCAAGACCGTGAAAACGTATAAGAGCTCGAAGAAGCGTTTTGCGCGGTTTATATTATCATTGGGGTTCCAGGGTGAAGAGTGTCGCGGGTGAAGAGGGTACATACGTGCACACGCGAGATGGCCATGTCAACAATCCTAGCGAGACTCGCGCCAGTTGCCCTGCTTCGAATAGTGACATAACCACAAATATTTATAACGAGTGCAAGAGATAGTAAGATATCGGAGTAAGGTCTACGTATCTTGTGTATCCGAGTGCATACAGCTGCTTTGGAACAGGAGCGTCTATTTTGTTGTCTACCTCTTTTTCATAACAATGTCTTCTATTTTATCCGAACATACGTGACACGTGCTCACGCAATGTCTATGACGCTTGGGTCTTATCGGTTGTGTGGGAGAGAATATAAACAGCTGTGGCGGCAATTCGATCTATTAGATGCTACCGCGGCTTTCTCAGTAAACTTAGTGCGTGTACCGTATAACTGTGAGAGTGGCAACATACCGGCAATTCTAAGAAATTGAAGATAGAGATCTTGTAAAACGAGTAAACAGCTTGGGAAAATATTTGTACTTTTTTTTTAATAATAAAAGCGCAGACTATGTTCAGTTGGATGAATTGAAACGTGTTATCGTACTTGACAAATATTTGTGCATATTAAATAACCTTGTGAAGGCTTGTTGTAATTTTCTAAAACGTTTACCTTGGCTGTTGGGAGGATATACGCTAAATCCGTGGGTTATAAAACTTCGTTGGATTAGAACTGTTTGAGGAATGATGTTAAACAGATTACAATAGTAATCTGATAGATACTTGCGAATCCATAGTCCGACATTATAAAAGGAGAAGGAATTTTTATTAAAGTTAATTTACGGCTAGGACGGTGTCATTCTTCGTTCACCTTCACCTCTTACGTCTTGTCAATTGACAGTGTCAAGTATAGACAATGACGTAACAAGATATTTAAATTCTCTCGACCTCTCAATTGATTATCAGTCGGTAACAAGTCTGTAAACGTGGCGTCATCTGTGCGCTTGCATTCTAGCATGGTAACGTATCGGCCTGATATCGGTATATACGGTAATAGTTTCCGTGAAAAATTTAACAGTCGATTATACCTCGATAATCCTTATCATTAGTCAATAAGAAATATTACAGATAAATACGTTCGACTTTCAACTTTCATAATGCATGTTAGGCCGTGAAGCTTATGCGCTTTATGCGTGACAGAGATAAATCCGTTGTACTACAATGTCCAAACTAGTGTCTAAAATGTCGGATGAAGATCTTTTGTAGCGAAACGATGTGAATTATTAATAGAAAGTATCAAATGTGCCAAAGATTGGTAATTGCGCAAGTAATACTTGGCACTGTAACGAGTAGCGAGACGTAAAGGGATATCTCCATTCATTGATTCGCGTTTGGTTTACTTTGTATGTACACATGTAAAAGCAAGATATCAATGGCGAATTGTAAAAGCATTAATACCTTCTTCTCTTTGCTCCAAAAAGTACTTATCCTCTCATGAGACAAAAAGGATCCGTAGGAACGTGCAGTGAGCAATGCAACGGATGTTAAGGCAGATAATTTTTTTCTACCATTGTTTTTTTTCCTAGTCAGAAGTAAGCTGCTACTTTCGGACACGTTGTTGTCGGTACTGGAGTTTGAAAAAATGCCAGACAATTTTCTCATGCTTCCTTTGACCATTTCTTTCCTTCTTCAAGATCCTTCATTCAAATTCGAGATACGATCACTCACAAGGAAACGCGTCCACATCACGTTATGCAGGATGCACCGAAATCGGTGATCTTCGAAAGGATTATATATATTATTGTCATTAATACGTCTGGTAAGAACATTTCCTTAACTTTATCAAAAAACAAAGCAAGTATTTATCGTTTAGCAAATTTATAATCCCCGTGTAGGACTAAATGCAGCACTGTCCTATAAATCACGGTGAAGCGACCATTGCTACCGATAGACTGTCATTTAAGGTAAAAGATGAAGCACAATATCGTTATCGCCAACATACCAATAAGATACCCGATAATGACGAGTGATATAAAAAAAAAGATACTCTTTATCTCCAAGAAAGAAAACAGCAAAAATCTCAGTTACCCTCAATCACGATAATAACGTTATAGCCTGCAGACATAAACAGTAGAAAATTTCATCGATCGCTTCTCAAAATGGATACCAATTAATTAATGCCTGATCAATTGGCTAGTAAAAGACATAAAAATAGTTTTAAGCAAGCCAGACATTCAAGACGGAGATAAATAGATATAAGCAGATAGACGACGGCATTCTCATACAGAGTCGTTATTCCGCAATGAAGTTAATTTGGCAAATGACACAAGAGGCCCAAACGAGTCCGGGCCAATGGTATTTTCGTTATGGCACCTAGTGCATCCTCAGCATACCCGTTACACCTATCGTAAGAGAAATAACTCGTATATGAATTCCTCACGTATGTATACTCAACGTATGTTACCTCACTGATTCGGTGCTCAATGCGATGAACAATATCCTGAGAACGTCCTCTTAGCATGGCAAATTGTTTCCTGCGACGTTCACCCTGTACCGAGACGTGAGAATATCCTTTGCTGGTAGACACCGGCTTCAAGCGTAGATGAGACATTGCACCGGCAGCCTGATACGATACTTGGTGATCTATATGTTCTTCTGCTTATTAAAAGATGTACCTATCTTCCGTGTGCCCGTCCAGGTGATACAGCCAGGTGACGCAACAATAATTTGTTCGCCTGGTCAGTTAGGCTCCATTTATAAATGACAGCTGTACACAGGCTCGGTCAATGTCACGGAAATTTCCACTGGTTTAACTGTGCTAGTAGACAGCGTTACGTTACACGTGACGATTTGAAAAAAGTGGGAGAAGAAACGAGATGAGAAGCTCAGAGAGACCGACCGACAGTTTCACCAAAGTTAACCGAGATTTAATTTTCGATATTAGCCAATGGGGATTCAGATTTCCTGAAAATACAAGCATCCGATTGGCTAATCTCGTCAGTTACACCTCATTCAACTGCGATGAAATCTCGGCCCCGGATGATCTTAGATCCTGAGCCACGAATATTTATTCACGTCCTAAAGTATCCTATGCAATCGGCATTATCTTCAGGTTACTTTCTGAAGCAATAATAAGTCTCTTGCGACGTACTGCCAAAGGAACAAGTAAGTGAAAAAAGAAAATAACATTTATCTATCATTTCGATAGGCAGCACTCGTCAATCACTGTCAAAAACAGCGTAGCAGCCACCAAGAAATTTTTGATAAGACGACATACGCATAGACTATATGAAGAGTTCAAATTTTTTTCGGAATAATAAAAACTGTCTCGAACTCTCACGATTAGGCTAAGCAAGCGCAACTAGTGAACGTAACGCGTGTGCGCATGCGCGAATGGATTGGCGCGCTCAGAATTAGCCAGCCGTATGAGAAAGTGTGTCGAGTAGACAAGAAATAACGCGAAGAAACGAGTCTTTGCGCAATCCTCATTTTCGCGGACACTACTAGTAATTATTTCCAGAAGTGCGTGAAACCCAGTAATCCTAATAACCTTGAGAAATCTTTGTGGTGAATCGGTCGTGGTGATTCCTCTAGTTATTTGCTTGATTGCAAGACGCCTCGTTGGGTTCTGACTCAACGAGAACAGATTGTGAATTAACTGACGTAATCAAATGCTCAACAGATACGCGAACGTGTCACCATACAAAGAGTTTGTATAACGAGTTATTTTTGACAGGAAGAAAGAATTCACTAGTTGGGACATTCAGAATGAACCTTAAAAATTATACACTGACAGTACTGTATTGGCAAACGCGTGTAAATGATCAGAACGGAAACGTATCTGTCCTCTCGGTTGCTACTCTTGTGCGAAACTAAAGAAACTCAGCAGATCTTTTCACTTGGGTCCTTATCGACGCGAGAGACACCAGATTGGTCAAATTAAAACGTTATCAGAACTCGGAATATATTCGCTTAAGAAAGACGTAAGTTTTACTCGATACTATTAATGTAAATATCTATGATAAAAAACTAATAAGTACTAATTGCCGAAGGCCACGTGCTGTGTATCGTGCTATTATCGTCGCGTACTGCTTGATATTACTAATACTTGGCAATAAGATAGCAGAAATTTTCAGTGTAGAGTTAATCGGCGTATACTCCAGTGCTGTGCTCTTTCGATACGTAGTATATGTATACATATGTAGGTAGGAAGACGACGTAAGAAAGACTGTGAAGACCTGAGGAATATTGAATACAGTCCTAAATACTGCTCTCTCTCTCTCTCTCTCTCTCTCTGTCTGGGACGTGGGCTTCGACCCTTTGTATTGAGTAAGACGTACTGTAGTCGTAATTTTAAACTGGCATCACTTCACATTACACGTGCTAAGGTAAATGAACCACTCGAAACGAGATTGAAAAACGGAGTTAAGGATATTTAACTTTAATTATTTTACCAGTTGACTCTTCGAAAAGATATGTATTCTTGACGCTTGGAAGAACGAGAAACTCATGATGGTTGACGCTTGTGGTATTTGAGTATAGATATATTAATACAATATTTACCGAGCCGGCCTCTGGATCGAATGTCAACCATGTCCGCGGATCAGGTAACCAGGCGTTCATTTCAACGAAAAGTCGATCCACAGGATTAAATAATTTGTATAAAACTCTGGGAGAAAGTAACACGAGGAAGAAACGATTGAAAGATTGGTAAGGCTAACAAAGAACTGAGGCCCAATGTGCGCATCGCTATCTTTTTTGCTATACAGGCACAAAGTATGTATGTATACGGTGTTAAGGGATCGGCAAAGGATTCCTTTGTCCCTGAGGAAGACAACGGGGCCATAGTTGTCGGTAGAGAACTTACCGATCAATGGAGATGCAGATCCGTCAATAAGTTAGACGTCGTCATGAATTTTGAAAGTTGTGTCTTGCACCTGAAAATAATAATTTTAAACGTCGTTCCGTCGAGGAATCTCTACGGCCCTGGTGGTGAGCTTGCATTCGGATCAAGGCCATGTCCTGATTATTTTGTGCAGGGTGTCCCATTGCGGAAACCAACTGAGACGTGCCAAGAATTTACAGCTTGACACGCACGTCAATTTTTAAAGTGATACGAGACATGTTAACGTTGCTCGACGTCTGAGCCTACGTTGCAAGCTCCTCCACGAATTGACCGTAACCTCACCTGGAGCAGCCCGTAGAGAAAGCACTGTCATTCACCAAAAAATAATCGAGAATTTCGCGTTTTCACTCCTCGTCGAATCTTCACACGTTTCACCGTTCACATCTTATTCGTTGGACTTTTCACGACTGAAAGATCCTCTACGAGCCACTAAACGCGATCCTGGAAAGCCACTACTAGCTCACTGCTTTCGAGCTGAAACGAGCTTTGTCGTTTCCTTTCATTTGATACCCTATAAGATTCTTGGCACTAGCTGGCGCACCAAGCGTTCTCGATATTCTCTGTCAGCTGATTCAGCTGGGTGCTAATAGTACACGTGGGCTTACTAGGCTTACTAAACCGACTTTAAACAACGAGAAAGAACTGGAAAGAACTGATTTGGATTCAAGAGCAGCAGGACGCTTTTTGAACTTGCTCTATTAAGGATGTTGGCCCTACCGCAGAAAAAATACTACAGGCAGCGGGCACACTCCAATCCTATTGCTGACCACTGTATAGACTAGTGAGACAAATTATTTTACTTCATTCTCACTCATTTTTATTATCCAAATGGGACTGAGGTTTTTTTTGTATATTTTGATTTCAGTCCTTCTTCGCCAGATGAAATGGACTGGAGCTCCTTGTATCCAGAGTTTTTTTTAACAACAGAAAGTCAAAATGAAGATGTGTCTACAAAGAAAGTAGAATTTGCTGACGTAGGGTGTGGTTATGGAGGGCTTTTAGGTTAGCTGGACCTTTGGTTATCATATCATGACTAGATTGACTGGAAGATTATATTAAGATTTTTCTGACAGTTACACTCTCTTCTATGTTTCCTGATCATTTGATTGTTGGGATGGAAATCAGAGTGAAGGTGTCTGACTATGTTATGGATCGCATTGCAGCATTGCGTTCACAATATCCAGGCCAGTATCAAAATATAGCTTGTTTAAGGACTAATGCTATGAAGTATCTACCTAATTACTTTCATAAAGGACAGGTAAATATATCCTATTAAAAGCATACTATTCTGTTCTAATCATTATAAGGAAGTAATTGTTTTTGTGCAGTTGAAAAAGATGTTCTTCCTGTACCCAGACCCACATTTCAAAAAAGCAAAGCATAAATGGCGCATAATTAATAAATCTCTATTGGCTGAATACGCTTATGTATTAGCATTGGATGTGAGTATTTTTAAACTTTTAATAAATCATTAGTAAACTCTATTAAATTGCTACTTTTATTATTCAAAGGCTGTGGTATACACAGTTACCGATGTAAAGGATCTACATGAATGGATGGTACAACATTTCGAAGAACATCCATTATTCGAAAGAGTTCCAGAGTCGCAGTTGGTAAGAATCAACAATAGATATTCATATTGTAATTTATACCACAGTAAAGAGTTGTTCTAAAGATATCACTCATGTTTTGCAGAGTACAGATCCCATTGTAGAAAAATTATATGAGAGTACGGAGGAAGGTCAAAAAGTGACAAGAAATAAAGGTGACAAGTTCCTGGCCGTTTTTCGACGGATTCCAGATCGCTACATACAACAAATTAGTTAATCTTATTTTTTAATAAAATTTTTAAATAAAGGTTTTCATTCATTGACTTTGTCAAAAAACCCAAGCGTAGTCAGTCTTATAAATTATTGAAAGTAACGGTATATGGTATATCTGGATTTTCATTGATATTTGATTCTTTCTTAATCTGACTCACTGCAGCAGGCTCTGCTTCTATAAACAAAAAAATATATATATCTAAACACCAACATTCAATTGTTAACAGAAAAAAATTTTATCTTTGTTTACTTTCGCTATCATCAGAACACATTTTAATTTCACGTAACTGGGGACAAATTTTCATATATGTAATATCCCTGACGTCAAATGACTGTGCTAAGTGTGATATATCCAAAACAAATTCTTCGTGTATTATCATAAATGTCATCTAAAACAAATAACACATGTTTATCGCGACTAGTTCATTTTTATTGATAGTAAACTCACGCGTTCCAGTATTGCAGCGATGTATCTGCGAGGAGGTACAATGTAAGAATTTTTTATTAATTTTCTTCTGCGTATTTCATTAACAGAAAATTGAGAATATTTCAAATCTTGGTTTTCGGTCAAGATCTTTAATGCAACATCCTCAAAAAATTTGCTATTTAAAATTTTCCTAAGAACAAATTCACAATCACAAAAATTCAACATACACTGTACATATTAGAATATTTTACCATATCATCCCTTCCAAAATGAAGCTGGCCATATTTATCAAATTTTCCTCAACAACACGTTTAGATTCATTCATATTCGTCAAAGGTATTTCGTTCGGCGGATAATTAGTTAATTGCTGCATAACAGTAGTTTTTAAATCTTCATCTTGCGCAGCATATACATAACAAAGAACAGTAACAGCCTTGTGAAAAGGCAGAGGTATTTCCCTGATTTCAGTACGTGGCATCTGTTCCAGAAATTAATTAAAGGTAGCATATTTTAAATAATCAAATAATAAATATAACGTACAGGAACGTCCGTGCCCTTTTCCGTAATAGAAAATTGTCCTTTCAATTCCTCAGATTCAATACGACAAACTAAAATGTTCTTCTTATAAGCACGTAGTTCACTAACGTTAATAAATTCGCACGTAACATCAGGATTAATTTTACAAGCGTATCCACCGGTAGTCACAGTCACATAAAATGTTTGAGGTGTTTCCGGTTGTATCCGACCTTTACGTGGTTCAATATGAATTGAAATAATTCCTGGCAAATCGTAGCTATACAAATGATTGCATTAAATTAAAAGAATTCGTCATACATATGGAAAGCAAAGTAAATAAATATATCTAAAACAAACTTTTTCCATTCATAGCCAAGCACGTCGGTCCTGAGAGTACTCTGAATCATCAATATCCTGGTGATTTTACTATGTGTTCCCATAGGTGGTAATATTATATGATCCGTATTAAAATACATAGGTACTTGGTCAATGGAAAATATATCGCAAACTGGTGATATTTCGGTAAGAATTTGAGTTTTGAAATAGCCAGTAGTTTCGCAACGGAGTTGCAATTCTGTCGTTTTATTTCCAAGCATCAGAGGAACATTTGCCTATTGTGTTATTATACGTATGAAATAATCGGTTATAGCGAATAAAAAATAAACAGTAGGTATTGTACATAAAATTGTCCTGAGTGTTTCGGCTGAAATTTTAGTATTATGGGTTTGTGAGAATTTTTTGGTATTCTACCAGAAGGATGAAGACACGAAAATACTTCGTTGAGATACGTCTTATTGGCATTGCGTAATGAATTAATATCCAGCGAGTAAGATACGTCTTGATTAGTATTGTTGTACATCCAGCACATCTAAATATTGATTGATACGGATAATTAATGTTGTACGTAGGCTAGTTTGAAAGCTTTAAGTATAGCGTAAATGGCTCGGATTATATTGTGTAACATCGCCGAGGTTTAATACTTTCAGACTGACCTACGTATGTGTTTCAATGTTTATTGACTGTTTGGGTTACCTGATAAATGGGATCAAAATCCCCAATATAAATACTTTCGAGATTTATCTGCGATCCATAAAGCATCATAGCTTTCGATTCTTGTTCTAATATCGTGAGGATGTTTGTTTTCAAAAAAATGTGACGGTTGTTGCTTAGAATAAAGTCCCACTGAAGTTCTGTTGTTCCTGGTAATTTATAAAGTAACTCTATCGTTAGCATAGCTTCTTTTCTGGGCTATAAATAATGTAACATTAATATTTTCCATTGGTTTCTTGTTATCTTGTAAGACACAGAATTGATTTTATTACTTCCAGAGTTCCTGCTTTTGGATAAATCTTACATGCTTCTCTGTGTATACAATTGTATTCAATAGATTGAAACGAGAAGCTCCTAGATTTGACAATAAGTTGGCAAGAGCACAATTGAATCCTTTTCAAAGTCCAGGAAACGGAAACGGAAGTTGGATTAACCATGAGTAACTTTATAAGAAATGGATTCTCGTGTGCAGTGAAGGCTGGGAAGTGCATTGCAATACTTCTTGTCTCGTCAGGCATTATATCTTTTATAATGGAATTCAATCTATGGAGAAATATATAATTTTTCTTCCATTATATTTAAATATTGTTTTCTTTACTACTTGTTTATCTGTATCATTTTCCATAGGAGAATTTTGCTTATATTTGGACCAGATCCATGGTACAGCAGATCTTTGATCTAAAAAGAAAAGTTAACATTAGAATCATTATCGGTTGATTATAAACAATTACACGTACTTTCAAAATTGGCAGAATACAGGCGCACTTTAATGTGCATACTTCTCGAGGTTCTGCAAGCGACACTGTTTTTTCAGTATTGATCCTGACGTAATAACGAATCGACAATTCATAATACCCAGATTCCTGTGGTGTCAGTCGAACAAGGATTCTTTGATTTTGACCAGGATGAAGAGTCTCCAAAACAGGATGGATTCGTAAATCACGTTTTATGTCGCCAACCGGCCAGTTGCTGTGTGCACACTCTATTTTGAAGTGAATCTTTACGGCACTGAAGTTAAATACGTGAAAACTAAGTTCCTGTGATTCTCCATAGGCCTGAATTCCAAAATCCAGCACATCCGGTAGCGCCTGGTAGTTTTATTTGTTTGGCTATATATGAGATTATTAATTAAAACAATAAAAAGCAATTAATTACAACAAGGTAGCCAAGCTCGCATCTTCCTATTGCTTTTACACTGATATTTTGAGTATTTCCAATAAAACGTCCATTTCTCAATCCCCTTAAACGGCAATCAAGACTGAAAACGTATTCGCCTAATTTTACTGGACAGAACGTCCAGTTTAATACAATTGCCTCGTTTGCATGAATTTCGCCACTTGACGGTGCGATGCACAGTTCTTTAGGTAAGTTATGAAATGAATACCTGAATTAATTGATAGAGTTAATAATAAAATTGAATGATAATTATACAAAGATAATATCGATTCATATATACGTTATTCGATGACGCGTTATATTCCGCATGATGACTTCTTTCTTCTGATGACATTCAGGATAGACTGGTAAAAATTCCACTAATTCATTATCGCCTATAGTTACATGTGGAAATTCCGCGTATCCTTTGAAATCAACGTAAGTCTCATTTTTTGGATTTTCATTAAACTGTACCGCCCATCGTTCCATATACAGTAAGTTATTCTCAACCTTAGGAAACATGCCTAGGACGATTGCCTGATGATTTCTATAATTTTAAATAATTAACTTGCAGTACTAAAGATTCAATTAAAAATAATAAATATTTAAGAGAAAATCTTAAACCTGTAAATTGTACCCAGAAGCGGCTTCACGCTAAAGTGAGTTAGATGTGGCGCCACAAAACGAAAGGTTAACGGAAGATATCCATGATTTTTAATGACAAAAGTCGTGTAAACTGCTTGCGAAGGTGTCGTCGGTGGTAAAATAACTATTTGAGGAAGTTCATATTGCGGAATCCATCCGGTAGACGTTAGCGGAAACGAATGACCTTGAAATTAATTAACAATGGGGTTATGTAGAATTCAATGAATGTAATATGATGATAATAATTAAATATATACCTATCATTCGAATAGATGATACTAAAGGAACGAACACTATCAATTCTTTTGATTGACTCTCAATCTCGTTTTCAAAGTTATCATTATTCCACAAAATATTGGCGAATAATTCTCTATGATAAACAGCTGATTCCTTATCAGGCTGAAAATGAACTTCGAAGAGAATTGATTGCTGGGCATGTACTATGGCGCTACTAGGACTCATAGTGAAGATTTTATCAATATCTGTAATAAATAAAATTTCTAATGAATTTATCTAGTTCTCTTGCAATTGCATTCTTTACCTTCGTCCCATTTAATTGAAAAGTCGATCTGACTGTGATTTGTGAAACATACGGTATGTGTTGTATGCTCGTTATTGACTTTACCAAAATTTATGTAGTTAGATGAAAGTGACGAAGGAGGAGTATATCCTTCTAGGATAGAATTATTGTCTTTCATGTATCCTTCGAAACTTTTAAACTCTGCTAAAGAATTTGGAAAAGTCTCAAGACAGATGTTATCTTCTTTAAGAAATCGATCAGTGGAATATCCATAAAGCTCCAAAATAATGGGACCCTAAATCAATGTTTATTTGGTTTTTCTTTTTCAAGTCTAATTAAATAATTTGTCCGATCGGATTACCTGACTTTCTACAATACAAGGAAGATACATGACGCAGCATCCAGTTTTACGAGGGATGTAAGTGATTGTCAGAAGTTGGTTATCAAATGGATTAATTATTCCATGATACAAGTTCAATTTGAATTGGGATTGATTCTCGTCGATATCAAACATAAATCGTCCTTTAATATCGGAATTATTTGTCATCCGAATTCTCTTCTTGGTCGAGTCTTCATCCTTGGAACAAATCATCACAAGTTTTGACACGGAAAATTGAATATCAGGGCCTGCACCAAGAAAATACAAATACAAATTAACCATAAAAATGCGATTTATTAAACACAAAAATTTTATTCTAATAAATCACCAATGCAATTTCCTCGTACGATAATTTTGTAACGCTTAAAATCACAATCGTCTACTATAAAATAATCCGTATTTTTATGAAAATAGGTAGTCGGTTTGTAATAAATATGGCAAATAAAAGATTCTCCGGGTAGGAGGGACCAGGCGTATTTTTCCAAACTGAAAACATAATCCAAAGGATTCGTAATTGGATCTCTACGAACCTCGTACGACTGTTTTTTCTGAAAAAATATTCACTAAAATTAATGTACAATAAGGAATTTTTCCTCAAACTAATTTACACAGCTCTGATTGCGTAATTTGATGATTTCAGTAGCCGTTGTACCCAGAGCGACCTTTCCAAAGTCAATTTCTATTATTTCTTCCATAATTGCACTAGAGAAACGTCCACACATAGCGTATCATGCAAAAACTGTAATCAGAAGGATTTATGAGTTTTTAAATTCGTGCATTTTTAAATTGAAAATCGTTACCGCCAAAAATTTGATAGAAATGCACTGCGTGTGTGAATACCAAAGATGAGTAGGGAGACGCACAGCGCTACGGTTTTAGGGGATACCAAAGGCATGGCGCTGAATCGCAGGGCGAGTCTGGGAGTAGGATTCTGTGATCATCGCTAACGTCGATAATTAAATTTTTATCTACTCCATATATTCTGCGAGATTTTGATTTAGCCTCAATTTTATATTTTGAATAAATTTTGAAAGTAAATCAAGATCCAATAATATTTAGTAAAAATTGAGGTGCTACACGGGTGTAAAGTTGACATTGCGCTTTCTTAAAAATGTCTTAAAAATGTTTCAACAATAGACTTTTTCAATAGTTCTTCAGAAGTTCTATAGTTCTCGGTCTCGTTCTAAGGGTTACTTTGGGAACCAGCGGTGAGTAGCGGAGAACCTCTGATCGCCAAGGTACGCGTTCGTGTTCACGTTTAGCTCGGCTACGACGGGATTCGCATTGTCGACAGAAGCGATGATCACAAAATCATACTTCCAGAATCGTCGCAACGATTTAGTGTTATGCTTTTGGTATCGCCTAAAACTGTAACGTGTTCATCTCCCCACTGATCTCTGTGAATACGTATACGGTGATAGCATTTATGCGATTTATGCCGATAATGAAGTCATCTTTTTCTATATTAATAAAATGATTCAGATATTGGCAGTTGGTAAATGCAAACATTCTATTGGATATAAAACAATTGGTATATTCCTAACCAACCAATACAACGTTAGCTTTAGTTGAGTTTCCAGCTTATATTTTTCTTGCAAGTTAGAAGGAAAACAAAGAGTAACTGTATGACGTATTTTTCGTATCGGTTTAGTTAATCGGTGTGATACGTGATATGGGTCTCGTTTAACAAATATTTTGTTAGAGCAGTCATACTCGTGAATTCTTGGAACAATTAAAGTTTTGTCATCTTGGGATCCTAGACGCTGAGAACAGTGTCAGCATCTTTATGGCTCTATGACAGTTCCAGTTCCTCCAAAATGGTCGTAGAGTGTACTTCGAAGATTGTTTACCAGTTGCTTTTGTCGAGTGTTATTTTGTATAATGTCGTCTTTTGCGAGCTATATACGAGATGTGAGTTTTAATAATTTCATTGTCATCATAATTCCAACAAGAATTCATACGGTTTGGGTTAAATAATATTCTCATAAATATCATTTGACATTTCAGACCCACTGGAGAGTGAGAAGATTTGTCATCCTCTGGCACGAAAAGGCAAGATTGTTGCGCCCACCAGTACATTCAACTTAAATCATTCGAAGACTGCAATTATTGTTAAGCCTGGGCACATGTTCGATAGCTGGATTGTCACTGCTGATAAATATTGTAAATTTACTGTTGAAACGCGTAAAGGAGTACAACTCTTTGCTGTTATACAGAAAATGTCTTTCCGACGAAATGGGACCAAATGTTTAGATTACTTAAAAGTAAGGACTTTTTTGTTTATATTGTTTAGATGGTCTATTACATTGATACAAGTTACTAATCAATTGATGTTTAGTTTAAGAGACGGGATGGTTATGAATCTGAAGAATTTTGTGGCCAATTTGATTGGAGAAGCGCGAGGTCTTTCACTTCTCCTGAAACAGAAAGTTCTGAAGAAAATGAAGATAGTGGGTCTTATGCTATATTTGATGTCAAAGGAAAAATACAGACTAAGATATTTATTTCTAAGGAACCTCTACAGAAAGACGAGACATTGGATCTAAGTATTGTATACACTCCTTATACAGGTAACAAATGTGATTAATAAGTATAATAACGAGATATGCCAAATTAATATTCATATTACTTAATTACTTATGTTTCCATTACAGACTGTGAAAAAGTTGATTCAGAAGAATTTTTGCCTGTACGTGAAAGAACGTGTATTTGGAAAGATTTCTTTTGTGATGGTTATCTCAACTGTGCTTTTGATAATTGTGTTGCTGAAGAAAGTGAATGTCCTGGTATAATTGTAAGCAATGGTACTGGAACAAAAGTGACTGTTGGTGCAGTGACCACTATATTTTTATGCTTCCTCATATTCGTTGTATGCTTGTGGATATGTAGAAGGCATAAGAAATTATGTTGGTCACCAGACTGTGCAGGACCAATTACTGGAAATGACAATACCCCACAATTAGAACGACAAATGAATAGAACAGTTGATAGTCCAGTACCCTCAGCACCGATGTTGGAAGTAGTGGTACCAGCACCTGTTCTAGACAAGGATTTGCCGCCTAGTTACGATTCTCTGTTCCCTAATCAACTGAATTCCACAACCACGCAATAACAAGTAATCTCCCATCGGTAAGTTATCTAATGTTTTAATTAGATAAAATCGTACAATTTGCTTTTGCGAATAATGGTTTCATCGCTCTAACGAGCCAGTTCAATAGTTCCCATTTGCATTCCAATATCTGTTGATTAAAGTAAGATATGTCCATATAAGAATCTTGTAAACACTGACTAACGGTACTTAACTTTTTAATGTTTTGATACCAATTACTTATCAAAAAGTAACCCTCTAATCATTGTAAGAAAAAAAATCTCATTATTTTGTTTTTTGTGAATTTTATCATGCAATGAAGCTTAAAGTTTTGTTGATAGTCCAAAGACACATAAGAAGAATGAAGAGGTGTTTGAAAGTTAAGGAGAATTTCTATAATCTGCTTCAACTACTTATATTGGACAATAACTTTTGAATAGAAATAAAGTTCAGAACAACTGCTTTGACTTTACTGTCGATTTAATATTATAGTAGATTTAAATTGGTGAATAAGACTGCTGTGAATTGTTCTTATTGCGTATGAAGAAACCTAACTTTTTTTCCGGAAGTAAAGTAGTTTATTCGAAAAAATGTATAAAGCAGTGACCTCAATACCTTGGTAACTGATTCTCCGACTACACATGTATCTCTTAGATCTATATACATATGTATAACGTAGGATAAGACTATAAATGAAAAGACCATGAACGGGATACTCCTTTGTATTGAGAAAATATGTCAGAATTAATGAAAACGTATAAAACATATTCTATTTACATGTGCCTGCCATTAATAATATGATATTTTCGACTCGCATATCCATATTGACTTTATAAATATCGCTAATTATAATATCACATAGATAGATGTATATTTTGGAGTTGCTACAGCAACGTATATAATATAAAACATAAAACCACTCTGATACAGATGAATTAATGTTCTGTAAATATTGAATTTGTAATAAAATGAAAATTAAATACATAACGATATCACGTTATCTTCCTAGGTACACATAAGCGTCTATCAGATTTTACGCACAAGGAGATACAAAATGTTGTGCAATGCAATGGGAATTTTTTAATTTAAAATTAATTTAAAAACCCCTTTCTAGTCCAAACATAAAAAAGCATTATATTGAGTCGGTGAATAATTGCAAGTATTCTTTATTTGTGTGAGACATAATCTGATACGCACTTAGTGCATTTAAGTTTTTTTTTGTCAAATATTCAAGGACAATAAAAGACACTTGTTTATTCATATTATCTAATATATTTTGGCGGCTCGTACAAAAAATTCAATTTCAAACGTGACAGAATTTTACGGTTCTTGTGCGGCAGTGTGCTCCAATAGCCACAGGGCTCCATTAATAATATTGTCAATCTCTACAGGACCTGATCCCAATGGATGATTGTCCTCATAGACTAGCATCCTGTGAATAAATTTATCCTTTATTATTTTCTGCTTGAACATAAAAGAATATCAGACATAAGTACCTAGTCTTGACATTATTGGCCTTCAGGCGATGGTACCAAAGTATTCCCTGAGAACACGGTACCCGCAGATCATTGGTACCAATGCAAATCAAAGTTGGTGCGCGTACTTTGTCAGCATGGACAATTGGTGAACAGTTAAACATCTTGACGAACATTTCCACGGATTTTTGTTGCGGTATTGACTCATGGAAAGGATACGCAATTACAGCAGTACACCTAAAAACCATGAAATAAAACGCAATGATCTTTGTAACGATATATGGATCATTGGAGTTAATCGTGGGGCGCTAATTTGTTCTGATTGGATAACTTCTTTTATCATAAAAAATAGGTACGAATTTATAAGTGGATTTGTATTTCTTGAATTATGTAGTATAGTTTATCGTTATCTCTTATTAAAAGCGCATTAGTTCTACGGCAAGGCTTACGCGCAATCCTGGAACGCGATTCTTTCTTCCCTACTCAATGTATTGCGACTGAAATACAAATCGATAAATTACCCGAATAGAAAGACATTTTTATTAATGAACGATTATCCTTACCAGTCTGGTATATCTGATATAGTATACATGGCGGCAATGTCGATCACTGGATTTCTCGCTACAACAGCCCTAAATAAATTCTGAAAGTTGAATACTATCTGTATTGAGATTGTACTGTAGATTTATATGATTTATTAAAAATTGTTTTATAAGGTACCGAATATTGGCCGCTCAAGTGAGCCACCAGGAAGCCACCGTGAGACCCACCGGAGAGACCCATACGCATTGGATCTAGCCAAGGAAATCTGCGCAAAGCTTCTTGCGTCGCTTCGATGCAGTCCTTGACGTCGGCGTCGCCCACTTTTCCTTGGAGGAACTCCACATTCTTTGCACCCATTCCAGTAGATCCTCGGAAGTTGACTTGGAGTATTCCAAATCCTTAAATTTTTCAATATACCAATGGTTCTTGAATGTGACATGGATATTTGAATTATGAATATTGTTGCCTATATTTACCCAGCAGGGCAAAGACAGTATGGTCCAGAGAAAAAACATTTGCGAATGAAGCATGAGGTCCTCCATGAGGTGCTACTATTAACGGAGTCGATTTGAGGTCACCATCCTTTGGTCCAAAGTATATGGAATTGAATTGCTCTGAAAAATATTATTACATATACTGAATCCAACAGGTTTATTAATAGATGTTTGTACAGATTGTACAAGGTGATACGTACTAACTTCATCATTGTTGTCGTACAAGTGTTCGATTTGCTCATACTTGATATTCTCAAGGCCAGGAATATCTTGCGGAGAAGTAATTTCGGTTCTTGTAATATTTCCAATGTTAGAGGCCTGCGAATTGAAACGGCCTATTGCAAGCCGAGAAGGTTCTATCAAGGATGTTCTGACAAAGGCGATTACGTCGTTTCTCACATCCAAAATTGTCAGGCTGCTGCTGTCGTTTTCGATTTCAGTAATGACCTTCGTTTCTGAAAGTCATAGTGTTCTAATGATGATAATTTTTTGTATTCATTAAAAATAAAAGAAAAGCAGAACACCTACCAACATTAACGACGTATGATCTAACGTTCGAGCGTTGAGCCGTACTCAAAAATAAATACTTAGAGTCTGCACTCCAGCATCGTCTAGGTAAACTTCGATCATATAATCCGTAGAATTGTTTCTCATTATTAATTGTAATACTGATATGAATAACGTCAATCAGTATGTCCATCTAGAAGTTGATAAAGTAATTTCTGATTATCACAAGAATCTAGCAGCCAATTAATTTTACTAATAGATAAGGACCTTTTCTCTGGATGCTTCCCATTCCATTCGCATCAATCTGTGAGCATTGTGATGTGGTCCATCAGCTTCCCTTTCCAACCAGACAAGATATTTTCCATCCAGACTGAATCGGGGTGAACGCACTGCATATCCATCTAAAGATATTTTTTCTGGAACGTAGTAAAATCATGTGATTTGATTACACTACGATTAAATAAGTGAATAAGTAATTTATTATTGAATTTGCGTCATACTGAATTCTCCATTCTTCAGTAAGAAGATCCATGAATCTCTGTTGGAACAGGCGATGAGACCTAGATACCTGGGTTCGTGTCTCCATGCTACACCTACGACGTCTTGGCCATCTGGAGTCCAAAGTACCTGGCCAGGGGATAGGTCATCCGGTACTCCGGTTAAGGCATTAATCGTATCTGTATTCGTATCAAGAATCACTACGACAGGCCTGTGCTTTCCTACCAATTGCTCTCCCCAATGAGGTTTGTATATATATTCGTTTCCCTGTGAAGTGATAAGCATATTAAAGATTATAGCGAAATATGATAATCAGTGTATCCAAAAATTAAGTTTAGATATACATATCTTAATCTTGAACTACTTACTTTTATCGTTTCCTCTTCTTCTCTTTTTTCTTTTTCCTTTTTGTCTACTGATTTTTGTTTATAAAATGCTTCTGATTTGGGAATATTTTTTTCAGCAATGTAAAGCAATTTACTCTTATCCGGAGACCATTGAAACGCGCCAAACTCAGCTGTAATGGATACAATGCATTATAGAAGATAGATTGACGCATATTAATTGTTAATCAATGCTGTTTACTACATACAGTCGGTATACACATCACCATGTACATCCAGAGCAGTTAAGTCATAATTTTTGACAAGGTGCTGCCTATCCCAGATTTCTATAAATTGTCTGGAAGCATTGTCAACTGTTGCTGACCTTAGTACAGCTCTACGTTGCTCATCGTCAGATAATACAGATACAACCCTGTCACAATTATAATGTAAATTATTGCTTTATCACTTTGATATAAGCATATGTAAATTGCTTTATCTTCTTTGACAAAAATACATACTCTGTTGTTATATCAATAGGAAAGCTCTCTGATACAACCTGAAGATTAGAATCTAATACATGCTCCTGTACAAAACGCTGGTTTGTACGTCTCTCAAGATTCCTTTGAGACCACTTACTTTGCACTGTCACTCCATTACCTACAACTCTTATAATTTTGGCAGTAGACAAAGAAGGATTTTGTACCACAGACTTATATATCTTTAGTACTTTATCAATCTAGAACAATAAACAAAAAGAAGAGATATATAATAAAAAACAAAAGATAGAATGCCTGATAGTAAAATATTTTCTTACTTGATTAGATGCCATAGCTGTCAGAAATCTGGTATCCACTTATAAATGGCAGAGATACTGTTGCGTGGTGATCATATAAGAACAGATCACAGTCTGATAAAGGAACTTGCTTAGTGCTCCTATATATAACTGTCACTGTATCTTTAGCAGGACCCTATCGATAAAAGGGAAGAGGGTGGGATGGATGTTCCAAGTAATACAAATGGCAATGATTTAGATAAAACTACTAATGGCTTTTAACAAGATATATATTAACTTCAAAAAAAGGTCCGATTACACTCACGAAGTAGAACTGTAGCTCAATATTGCAGTGGCGCAGAAATGTTCTAAAATAATATGATGCATTCTTTAATTCTATTTACATCATTGGGTAATGGAGGAATGACATTGCATTGAAATTCAAAAATTTCGTACGATAAAAAAGAAAGAAAAGGTATGAGACAAAAAGGCGTAAGGTTTTGGAGTATTATTTGTTAGTAGTATCAGAGAACATATATTACATGGAAGCGTAGGCCTTATGGGAGGATTTGGCACACGACGCTGGGGTAATCTGTTAGTGATTACCCCAGCCACTGCGAGCGCTGCTTGTATCGATGTGAACAAACCCACCGATAAATTATTACCTCCGCCCCTTGCTATGATCGCGCGTCTTACCCCAGCCACTGCGAGCGCTGCTTACATGGAAGCGTAGGCCTTATGGGAGGATTTGGCACACGACGCTGGGGTAATCTGTTAGTGATTACCCCAGCCACTGCGAGCGCTGCTTGTATCGATGTGAACAAACCCACCGATAAATTATTACCTCCGCCCCTTGCTATGATCGCGCGTCTTTTGACAGTCATCGCTCACGCGGAGGACGTGGCATTATGAGCGTTATCATTATCATTGGCATTATCATTCCAAACATTAGAAATGCGTTAATGCGAGCGAGTACGCACGTTGGAAGCAGGTGAATGTAAGCAAGAGATCGTGATAGGATGTGAGCATGAGTGCGAGGGAGTCGACTGCAAGAGGCGTGGCTTCATACTCTTTACATGTGTGTAGCACACTGATACACCGCCGTGCCATCTACCGGCGAAAAGTGAAATTACTTTTTCTCTGTCAAATGTTAACACGGGACCTACGCTTCCATGTAATATATGTTCTCTGGTAGTATGTATATTTTTGTGAATAGATGCAAGAAAAGTTTTTGGAATATAAATTAACTCTCTGTAGGTAAATCACTACCTAGAATATCTGTTAGATGGCAATACTTTATAAATCCAAGAAGTGACAGTGGGTTATCTGATTTTGTTTACATTCTGTTTAAAATCAATATGTTGGATGTGTATAAGTATATTTGGATATCCTATTTGTTATATTAGATTTAACTATTAATGTATGTTCTGTTGATAGGTACGATGTAGGTTGCATTGCGATTTAATGCTTACAACTATTTAATGAAGTGTATCACAAAATGTGGAGGAGCTCGGTGGTAACTGCTTCGGATCATATATTTCCCGGCTTAGCATATCATGATCGCAAAAAGGAATTTTATGATATTGGTATTCTCTTATTTAATGGAGAGACATTTTCTTTATTATTTGTATGGAACTTCATTGTTTATTCGCATATTTTTCAGAGCATCATATTAAATCTAGTCTGCCGCTTCAAATGGCTCTCTATTTTAACATATGGCTCTTTGTTCCATGGTTTTTAATTACTGTATGCTGTTTGGATATGAAAGTACGAATTAACAAAGTTCTTGGCAAGGACTAAAAATCTTTTATCATTTTATTGATGCTCCTAATGATGTATTTTTTTTTTCAGTATTACAGACTGTCAGATTTGTACAAATTTGCAACTATCACAGTATTTATTGTTATATCTGTTTTGGAATGTGCAAGACTTTACTTGGGGTATATGGGTAATTTGGCAGAGAAGGTGTGTAAGATCGTATAATTGTGCAATTCACCCTCTCACTTTGTATCGATTTATTATTTAATTCAACAACATTGCAGATTCCAGAATTAGCAGGTTTTTGGCTAATTTCTACTCTCTTGCAATTTCCCTTGGAAATGTTCCTTATTTTGGATGGAGGAACGATGCCTCTTCTAGGAGAGATAGTGGTCAATGGTATTATGCTATTTCTCCTTGTCACTGAAATCATTACAGGAACCATGGCCTTAAAACATTCTGCAGATCATCATGCGAAAAGATTTTATTTAGCACAGTTGTATGGCATCGAGGATAAGCTAGACTGAAGTAGATTTTTCTATAAAAAACATCATGCAGAATATAGAAAAAGCATTTATTTACATAAAATATATATTACGTGATCCATACATTTGCAGCTTTAATAAATATATATACTCATGTTCAAGTGATAGACAAATATAAAATTCTCTTACAAGTACTGAACAAGCGTTATAAAATCTTAAGTTTTTGACAAGTAGTATATGGCAGGAATAATCAGTGCTTCTTAATTCTGAACATATCATTGAATCACACAATATGTGTTACACTCTCGCATTGTTATTAAGATTATATTGTTCATAGAAGGAACATAAATTTATAACATTTGTTTTCATTCCTATAAGAACTACCTCCAAATCCTTTAACGTAATATCCTCTTGACCTGGTTTCCCATTAGCCATGGCTTGCAGCAAAGCTGTCTTTGTAGGTACCATTCTTGCTATAAGCTAAAATCAATGATCATCAATAAAAAATCACCACTGACAAGATAAGTTTCCACTAAAACTCTTAATATTCACGTTAAAAAGTTGTTGCGCCATCCAGCCATGAAATGGTTCCAAAGCTTCTTTATATGCTTTTTTCAAAAAAGCACCAAGATCTTCAGTCCTCCTACCAGCTTTATGATCTTCAATAATTTCTTCAAAAAATAACTGTATCATATAAAGTCCCCTGAAAAACATTTAAACTATTCAAATCTATCCGTTTTTCTTTATTAAACTTTTTAAAAATATTTCTGCCATCTTTCTTTTACTTACCTTCTTAGCCACAATAATGCGTCAGTAGCAATCAAATCACGACCTCCTGCTTTCTCCAAGAGAATCAAATCCTGCAGAGTGAGATGCTGCTGCCTATTGCTATTATATTTCGTATTGATCTTCTACAACAGTATAAATTACAGAACATAATATAGAAATATAAATGAACTATTTCAGTACAATTTTACTAACGTCGATATTTCCCTGCATATCATATTTGACAGGTGCGAAGAGTTTTCCAAATTTATCTGTAAAAGATAGGTAAGTATATCACTCAATGCTTCTTTATTTATATGAAATGAGACATTTTTACTCAATTATACTTAATCTATTCTAATTATTACCTCAAGGTTATGTGATAAACCTGAACCCAGCGGTATTGACACTCACCAACCATTCGAACTATGCCTTGTGCTGCCGCCAAAAATTCTTCCGTTGCGATTTTTCCATCGATGACTTCAGGAAACGATACGAATTCCTCATTTCCATCATTTTCAGCGACTTGTTTCCGAACATCACCATTAGGAGCAGACATTTTTTATTGCCTACAATCAAATTAGAAATGCGTTACTTTTTACTATACCGGAAATACGCAATTCTATACGTTACCCATTCCTTTATTTTATCAAGAAGAATCATCCACTATCACAGGTATCTACGTTCCACTCAATGGTAATTTCTTAAGACGCTAATTAATTATACTCAACCAGTGATTATAGAGTGGGTCCAAGAGTTTAATATATTTCCTTGACAGCCATGTTAAAATAGACAAAAAGTATATATCAGTACAAAATCATGCACATGCATAGTTTCTAATAACAATTCTATATAGAGCTACGTGTAGTTCACTAAAAACTTTTTTTTTAATTTTGTCAAAAAAACATGAAACTCGTGGACCGATTGTATGTTTCCATTGTAGTCTAGTTGAAAGGTCAAACACGTGTGCTATATGTCTATATATCAGTAAGTTATAGATATACCATTAATACATTTAAACTTGCGTTAGATTCTTATAAAAACACAGTCACTTACGCGCGTCACTGTATTATTGTCATTTGAGTTGTATCTCGACCCAAATTCAGGCTGAGTTCTCTATTTGAATATGATTGATTAGACGATATTTTGATAGTACTTACCCAAAAGAGTAATTGCTACCAAACCAGCTTATTACAATGGTTTATCAAATTCAACGTGAAGAAAGTGCAGTCAACAATAAAAACACGCCTAATAGTTCAACGAAAGAAACGGAGAGAAAGAAAAGTTAAATGAAGCGTTATATCTGGTGTATAGCTGAAGGCTAAATCATCGAGAACTGGTCAGATACCAAGACGTCGTATGATTACCTTATCTTATCTAGTCGGCTAGCTACAGTATGGTTTGGCATCTGTCAATAAACGCTATTGGATGCCTCTTATGATTCACTAGGGTTGACCACCTATGTAAGAGTAACTAGAAGAAATTACTTTAATGAAGGATATATTATGAAAAGGATACAACATTAATTTCAGTCACCATCCACTATATTTCTCACTCATTATTATATTATTATTAATAATAGTTATATATATATATATATATTGATCATTCCATGTCGTTCAACCATGACAGTTTGCAGCACAATATACTAATATTGTCCTTTGCAAGTTCGTTTTGCTAGCCTATTATAATATTATTAAAATAATTTATGAAATCAATGTACATACATGTTACAATGTACAATTTCTAATAAATCCTAGCGCGTTAAATATGTAAATCTTATGAGAATATATATATACTATGTATTCAGAGTATACCATATCAATGGAATATTATAAACGCATAATGAATTCTTAAAGGTAATTCAATTAATTATATGTTTAAGAGAAATTGTCAAGGAACTAATAGTTATGATTATGGAATCTAATAGAAAAACTGATGGAGTCTTCACAGTTTTAAATTAATATCCTTTATCGTAGTTTCTTATGCGGTATTCTAAATTTGAAATTCGCATATTACGTTGCTATGGTACACCTTGTACACGATTAAGTGAGTCCGCATGCTACTTCTTCCTTAAATTACCTCTGTATTAACTGTGTACGCTAGGAAATTCCTGATAATCCTGAACATTTTTGTGCTTATCATAAATCAAATGCATTTGTTTAAACAACTGGTGAACAGCATAAGCAGGTACACGCGTTGCGTAATTATTGCGCAAGAGTTAGTGCGCATGCGCGTGTATTATGTTGTCATAATTTTTATTAATTATTCGATTTCGTTTTAAATTGGCCCTGTCGTATAAAATGCATTTTTGACATAGGTATACGTGCTACATGGAATCTCTGAATTTTGTATACCTTTATGCGACATGAGTAAACAGTCGTGAGTTGCAATAATTAATTATATACGAAATTCCTTTTTTAATTAATGATAATCGACATATATCGGATGACACTGATAACAATGAAGTAGTCTGATATTTTTGCTACAACAACAAAATGTTTTGATTACTGCTCGAGGATAAATTATCGCAAAAGGATAACGTCAACCATCGAAGCAGATCGGTCTACGTTCTACGTGCCAGCCGAAGACCGGCGTCTCGTAATACGATAGTCTTATTTACTCCAAGTTACGATATAGATACTGCTGATTATGTGCCTTGAACTCTATAAGCCTCTTAAATAAAAATCGACGGGTGCTGCAACAGAAGCCGTTCAAGATTGCCAGCAGGAAGTAACGAGAGTGAATTGAGTAATGGAGAAAGGAACCTTCCTTGAGAAATCAACTCTTCGAATGACTGTTAGTGATGACTATTGGAGGTTTAGGATATTCAGAAGTCCTAAAAGGCTGTTGGTAGGGGATGCTTCAAGACGTTTCCGACAGTGTCCTCGGCGACGAGAGTGAGCGGAGCCAGACAGTGAGGTGGCGGTGATGGTACCAGGGCTTCCAGAGGTGGACGAGCACCAGGAAACTGACGTGACCCAACGACCATTCCACCGGATGATTCACGAAGTTCCATCACGCGTACTCCGTATCGTGAGCGGACGACGTTCCTGGTGAGGTTGGAGAGGTTATAAGCAGGAATCTTTTAACCCTAGATAACGTAACTTACCTTTTTCCATCGTATTCTATTTCGTTGAGTCCTCGTGCAGGTATGTTGTCTATCTCGTTATTGAACCAGCGATGATAAGCCAGGATAGCTGCGCACGAGGGTCCCCAGAACGTCCTATCAGGTTGAGTCGGTGGCTCCGTGGATGATAAACTCCTAGAGAAGGATCTGTTCAGCTCTGGACTAGCCGGGGCTGAGAGTCTACCAGGACTAAGACGTGGACTTGAGGATGGGGAAGGTCTTGAGGTCTCCGAGAGAAGACGTCCTCTTCTGGGGCTGGCCATTATTGGTTCCTGGACCGTCACGGTGACGCTCAGTGGTCTGCTCAAGGCTATCGTAGTATGCTGAGGATCCCTCCTTATGGAATTACGATTAGGATCCAGTCCTGCACCACCAACGAACACTCTGTCCACGTAGTCAAAGCCACGACCCATTATTCCCTCTCTGGTGTGACCCAGGTCAAAGGTATGACCTAGTTCATGGAGAGCTGAACCCAAAGTCGTTGCCAAGCAGCCTCCATGCGTGCCTCTGTAGTTGCTGTCATCCATAAGCTGTTCCGTGTCGACGAGAGTTGAGTCCAGGAATCGTGGGAGGACCTGAGCCAAACAGGTGGGCCAGGTGTGAAGACAGGCTGACCCAAAAAGTGCTAGACCTCCACCACCCAGAGCAGCGTGCCCTTCGGTTCTTGCCAGGGTGTCTTCGTGGGTCCTTGGATTTGGTGCTCCTCGGTACCTTGTGCATGATAGGAAGGCCAAGTACTTCCGGTCCCTCGAAGCTAATGGTCCAGTCATCAACTCCCGAGCTATTAATTCCCAAAGGTCTCGCTGATTCATTGCTCTAGCTCTATCCACGTGCAACATACTGTGCATCACCAGACACTCGGCACCATCTAGGTCTCTTTCGAGTTGGAATGTTTTCCTGCCGTGACCAGCTTCTCGAAGTTTCTCGGCAGTCAGAGTCTGCAGGAGTCTAGCTCCCAGTCCGATCCTGGTCGCTGCGCTCTCCGGTGAACGATCTTCGCCTCTGGGACCTTGAAAATAACCATCATGCCCAGAGCATATAACATAAACAGGTGTGACTCTTAATCTCGTTGGTCTAGGTTCATGTATCAGAATAAATCTTCGTCGTGTTCCACCAGCTTCCAGGTCTAGCTTGTTCAAACCTCGTGCGAGATCCACCAGGGCACGAAACTCCCCGGAGACGATGGGCCATTCCGAGACAGAATTTTTGTGGGCCCGTACAATGATGTGTGAGCATCCTTGTGGCACCCGACCCCGTAGAAGAGCCATGCTGTAGCTAATAGTCTCCCCATCGAAGAGATTGCTCACAACGATGTTCTCTACGTTCCCATTCGCTAAGCTGCCGCGTTCATCCCGTAACGTCGCGTCCGCCAGCACCTGTAATTCCGTCGAGCAGTCCCATTCATTTACCTGACTGGGATCCTCTGGCTCCCAATGCATTGCCGATTATGTCGCGGCAAGTGCTGCCAGCTAGTGGCTACACATCGAACTACGTAGTCATTCTCCCTCTGCGACACTCACGTATTCTAGCCACTACAGTCACGGCGTGTGCCGGCTGTCAACGTAAAAAAGAACTCACGAGAAACATCCCCACGTACTATTTAAGACTCCTGACACTTTCTCACTTTCCTCGCGAGACGTCCTTATCATCAGCTACCTCCGACACTTCTCTTAACCACGTTTCAAGAGCACGAGCACGACGTACTGTTATTCACAAGGAATACCGAGGCCGTTTGTGTCAAGGGGACCACTCTACGCGTGACAGGAAACTCTGACACGGAGTAATAGCGAACGGCGCCGTTTCGAACAGTGTGGAAGACAACCGCATTGAATGCGCATACCAATAGTCAAAGATAAATACGAAGTTTTCGAAAGGGTCGCCCTGCCGAATGTCCGCGTTATCAAGGACTAACGGTACAACGTTATTGCATATTGACTAAGACAGGAATCCACGTTGGAAAAAAATCAAAATTTCACCAGAAGATACGAGGACCGCATGCGATTTGGTAAATGTCGCGAAAAAATACTTACCATTATGCAGAAGGTGCGAGAACAGGACCTAACACGGAGACGGCTAGCCGGCTCCGTACATGCGGAGAGACTGTGGCGCCGGGACGACAGCGGAGGACGCTGGTACTACGGCGTCGTTGCAGCGGCGCATGCAGCCTGGTCCTCGCGCACCCGCACTCCCGCCCTTTTCTTTCCATCTCGGTCACCCCTAGCTGCCCTCGACCTCCCACTCGACCACCCTCAACCAGCCAGCGCCTAAGTACCGACTTAGTCACTGCGGTGACTAACCATCCCTTGAAGAATCAATGCTCCTATGACTGCCAGGTAGATCCTTCATGTAACAATTCCAAACACCTGGTGCAAACACCAGTTTATAAAGCCCTCTTTCTGTCATCCTGACCACCTTTCTTCTCTTTCAGGGCAATTGATCGTCACCTTCACCTCTCTCTGTTACTTTCTGACCTCTTGCACGTGATACCTGATCCACAGTCAACTAAGGGTTGAAAACTGTCACATCGATATTCCATCCACGCCATCCGAGTAAACAAACCTGAAAAACACCGGTTGGAACTGCGAGACTTGCACCTTGTGCCGAAACAAGCAAAAATCCATGACAAGAATTTCTCTTGGCGCATTATTCTCTTGAGCTGTTACTTCAGGTTAACGTATATCTACAAGAGACCTTATGGCGCAGCACCCGCGTCTCAAGGGTCGATGCGCAATATGTGCCTCGTCATTCGTTTTAACACTCAACTGCTGAACGTAGCCCTCGAGTTTCTAAGATCGATTGACGTTACGTCGTTCTGTCGATAGAGAGAAAAAAAATATATGGAAATTCGCCATCAACTGGGAATACCCTGGTGCGAGGTCTTCACCTAGAGTCGCTGCGTCAAAACTAGCTCGATGAACATTAACCTTAATCGCATTTGGCTTTTTGCCAGAGAGATTCCCAGCTCCCAAGTGGCACTCGAATCTGTATATATTATATATACATATACTGTACAGGACATACAGAAAATTAAAATCCTGAGCAGCACCGGAGTCCCTTCCTGTTACCAGCATCGATCATGATTAAGGAATTTAAGGTGTGTCTTAGCAAGATCAAACTAGATAATCATTAACATTAATGATTGAAGTAGGTAGAAACTAAGAGACCAGTATTAACGATTTGGGAGATTTAATGTTTACCAGAGACAATGTGGAGATTTGATGTTTACCAGCTTGTCCCAACTGCCTCATTTACATGAGTGTCCGAGGCCAAAGGATCCTTGCCGCAGGATCAACGTACTCTGTTGTGCGCGCCTACTACACGGTTAACTTGTACCTTGAAGGAGGACGAACGCGAGGATGGAGGAAGCAGAAGGAAAGGCGCGTGCCTCGAGTCACTGAACGCATTACAATTATGATAATAGAGGAAGGAAGCCATGATCACTCTCTACGCGTTGGCAGCTCAGAATATATATTCGAGATGGTACGTATAAAAACATCTTCAAGGAATTAATTTCCTGATGGTAGCTAGAGTAAAACTCTTCTTTGGTTCTTCGATCATGATGTGGAAGATGTGACCGACTTAAAGGGCGAAGACATCCCAAAGGTGTCCATTCCTGAACGTCCTAGGGTGCCAATGAACCTGACTTCATCGTAGTCGACGTAGACTCTACCTAGGCATCTCTATGTAATTGATAGAGATTCAGTGAACCCTTGTCCTACTTGGAGGGCACTCTACTCCAGCGTAGTCAACGCTGCACTACTTTCCGGCCGACCCTATCGACTCTCGCTTACTGCGATCTACGCTACGAGAGTTCATCCTAGAAATCTCCATTCCCGTTTACCATTCACCAGCTCGAGAAGCCAGCCAGCTAGCTCGGTGCTAGCAATATCTTGGGAATTCGCGTGGAAGCCAAAATGTCAGAATACCAATTCTTGTTTATGCAATTTTTTGCATCTTGAGTTCCTTTTCAGGATGATCCCGGATGAAACGTGCCAAGGTCGATTCACATAGATGTTTCCTAGAACACTCATTCTGGGTGCAGCCAGGTACCAAATTCCATCTGATTTGCATAGAGGCATTATCAAGGCCAGATGACGGTCGAACATCCAATGCAATTTCTTATTCGGGTTCATCATTGTGTATTCTGAGAATTGCAGGGAACCTGGAGACTGTTGTTGTACTTCATGGAATCCGCTCTAAAGTTTCAATCGATCATTCAACCAATCTAGTCCATGGCCGCAACGCGACGATCGATCCTCCCTGCCGCCATTGCGAAAAGAGACACGGTGCATCCTGGCTGCATTGATGCATCGATCCTGGTGTCTTGCGCTTTTTGGCCAATTGGCTTTGACAGCCAGGAAATTAGTTAATTGCGGCACCCCGATGGGAACCCGAATATCGACTCCTCACGATGCTCTAAAATGTTCTACATCCGGTAATAATTTTTAGTGGAACATTTTTCAAAGATACCTGCAGCCTACATTTATTTTTAAACCTATTTCAAATTTACTGAACATTTCACATGTTCCTTTTACAGGTCCAAGTACGTTACCAGTTGCAGGCGCAGGGACCAAACAGATAACATTATCAGTTCCTGGGCTGTTCTTTACTGTTATTTAACCCTTTGAATGCGAAGCTCTTCAGATTTAAACCCATGCCGGACATGTATATGCGCCGATAGCACTAAAACCTTTAAATTTCTTATAAAATATTAATGAAATTCTCATTAATCCACGCGATAGCCCATCTCAAAAACTTCTAGAAGCTCTACGCGTTCCTTGATACCTTTAACTGTACTGCGTCTTCGAGTCCTTGTACGCACTGCGTAAAATCTGACCTATTGATTCTTCCCAATAGAGAAACAGGGTGTATAGTCCATCGTTCCCGCTGCTCCACTAAAGGCAAAGGAAGATCGACGTATCTCAGCTTGATTGAGAGTGAAACTACTGCGACACCAGTAGCCTCCAGCTCTGCACCTTGTGGACGTCTTTTATTTCATGCACGTTCAATTGCACAGCATCCCACTCAGGTTCTAAAATATCATCAAGCAATCATTTGCATGTACAACCAATACTTTAAATCTCGGTTGAACAGTTTTTTTTTGGTATTGTCAATTGACACACAAGCATTTTGCTTATTTATTATATTTTTTTCTTTTACGCCAGTAAAGAAGTCACGACGTTAGTCGCTCTCTGATCAGCATCCATTGCGTCTGAATCATTTTAGGAAGAACCAGTCTACCGTGAAGCAGTCTGTATCATCAGAAGCGCTACTGGTAGCATTGTGGATCTATATATCCTAGAATATCCTATACCTCAATAGTATATAGGATACTTGCACAAGTACTTTAAAGCTAATGATCTAATTCTAAACGTTCGAACAGGGAAGGTAGGAAGGTAGGAAGGAAGCGCAGATGGTTTTTACGTTACGTTACCCGAGAGATATCGCGACTGGCTATTATTGCGATGACGGAGATAGTAGGCCAACTTTCGAGATGACAATTTTATCTGGATGCATGTTAACCGTGGCGACGTTACTGTTTTCGCTACTTTCCGATCGCCTTAGGATTCGCTCACGCTAATAGGAATTAGTTGACTCTACCCAAGGTATACCGTCCCGTTGTATTTAATTTGTCTGATCCCACTTTAGTCTCATAATTTCTAATTTCTCTCTTCTATAGCCCCAGGCCAATACCCGACAAAGAATGAGCTCTGAGTTGCAGTTAAACTACAATTGGATGGATGTTAATTATCAGAAAGGGAGAAAACGAATGATGAAAATTATTAAGGACATTGATTTGCACTCAGAATGCACTGAGGATATACATACAATATTCAAGTGAATGCGCATGGGCTTTCCTCCACCAGGTCTGGTAAGAGTGAGCGTTCCTGGACGCTTACTCTTGTGGCGTGTTACTCGCACTACTCCAGAGGGTTAGTGACCGTGAAAATAGTCCCTGCAAGTGGGACGGCCATTTTTCAAAATCGTTGCAACGATTGCGTGCGCCCACAACCGACCTACATTCGAGGTCGATGCGCCACGATCATTCGTTTCCTCGTTTTTCCCTTCGCTCGCTGATTCTCCAGTGATCAGAATCAAATTTCCCGCCTGAAGCGTCGGAGCGTCGGCCGAGCAAGGATGGGAAAGTGTAGCTGTTCAAAGGACCAAGTTATTTTTTTTTCATTGTTAGAAGCGAGCAGAGCGTTTGGATCGAACGAAGCGAGAAGCAAGAAGACATTGGCACAGAAGCGTCGGCCAAGTCTGCATAGCTACGAAGTTGGAAACAAAGCAGGCTATCTTGAAAAATAATATCACGCTGTGCTAACTAGATGGATTTTCTTGGTCTACGCTTTCTTGGATTTATCTCGAATGGTGATTATCGTTAAAAGGAGCATTTAGTTCTGCACTCTCATAAAGAAGAGGGCAAATTGTCGCTTTAATGGTTGGCGGCAAGAGTTGTGGCTGGATAGGAAGTTGTATTTATCTTGTAGTTATAAGCAGCATCTTCCTATTCTTCCTCTTCTCTATTACATTGATGATAAGTCGGCCAGTTATAAATAAAAGTACAACTTTGTTTGCCGCAGCGCGCTCCACTTGCAGCACTTTCATAACAGAGCGAAAGAGAGAGGGTTGATGTTGGTGGAAGGGAGGAAAGTGTGAGGGAGAGAGATAGATAGATAGATAGATAGAGAGAGAGAGAGAGCCTTTCCAGTTTGAAGTAGGATGATTCAATGCTCGCTCGTTACTCCCTGCTTTGTTTCTCCTTCGTGAACTCCTGCAACTGCTGATCGTTCGCACGTTACTTGGCGCGAGAGAGCGAGAGGAATGGAAGCAAAGTGAATTTTTCAGCAGTGAAACGAGGTCGCATCGTTTGGAGTTTAGAAGGAGAAACTCTTCTCGAGGTCTATGAACTTAGGACTATATCTCAAGACGATTAGAGGATAATAATAAGAGTTTACTTGAAGAAAGGAAAATTTCAGTTCACTCTTCTATTTTGTCTCATCTCGTCTCGCTGCTGTCTTTTGAATTATTTTACCGCCTGCTTTCGGCCTGGTGCCAGTGAAAGCCGGAAGACCTCGTGCGGTTTTTAAGGTCTCCAACCTTCGATATTTTGTTGTCATTCCGGGTAAAGACAACCCCGGTGCCGATGACCTCATGCGAATTTAGGACAATGCGGTTTCCTTGGAGTCTTTTGTTATCCTAAAAAATGTTTAATCTCTCTCTCTCTCTCTCTCTCTCTCTCTCTCTCTCTCTCTCTTCCTCTTATATCATCTACTTTTTATATTTTGCAGATACCGGAAAGGATCAGCGTCAATCAGTGAGCATGGGATCCTTGGAATTCTGAAGGCCAATCATAACTCTATAATCTTTACTGTCGCATCTTGAAAGGACCAATAATCTGACATAAGTGATATGGAAAGGCGTCCTGCAATGTAGAGACGTAAGCGACGTAGCGACGCAAGGCGCCCCCAGCGACGAAACGAAAGAGAGTGAGAAGACGAAGCGAAGCAGGAGAGCGAACGACGCCGTGGAGAGAGTAGGCCAATGCCAGTGTCACCGACTAGTCAGCCACTGCAAACTTGATCGTGAAAACAGAAAAACAACGACCATCGTCGATTACGTTAATTCTACATTTATTTATAGAGTCTCTCTCCAGTCCCACTGGACTGTGCTTTATATTATTTACTGCACTCGCATTATTTTATGCCGTTTAGTTTTTCTATTATATACCATAGTATACATACACGGTAGACGTTATCGTTTAGTCCCCTTGCCTATATATAGACAATGCAAAGGCGCCGCGACGCTCGTCATACCTACAAGTGCTTTGGGTAACACGAGTCGATGATAATTCAATGAGACCAACATATAGTATGTGGATCATTGCCAGCCGACTCTTCGTGCAGTGATAAATATGTAATGCTTATGTGGAGATTGGCGTAGAGCGACGGTTGCAATGTCTCTCATCCTAGAGAAGACGGAGGCAGGTCTAAGGATTTAGTTATTGATTGTTCGATTTATTGATGTTGAGGTCGATGAGATTAGCTGAGAAGCACTGATGTACCCATGACATGCTCATTTCATATGTTAGGTAGATAGTACGTACGTTGTCACTGGTAACCTAGACACGGTCCAGGTCGCCTCTTCTTATCTGGTTCATTGCCGGGGCCTCTTCTTGCACCCAGATGCATCGCTCTTCGACTTCTGCAGATCAAAGGAAATGCATCTGGGGCTTAGAGTGTATTGTACGAAGATAAGACTGTCTGATAAACTAGATGTATAGGACATTTTTATGGGAACGCAGTAATCCTGTCCGTCGGCTCTGTGCGGCGCGTGCGTTACCAAATTCAATTATTCACAGACGTGCCACGTGGTAGCTATCTTTCGAATTGGAAGTCCCGTTGCGATAATTAGACTTTTCCCCACTCATGTGCAGACCGAAATAGCGAGGGATGGTGGGATGCCAAGTTGATTCGCTATGGGCTAAGCTTACGAAATTCTATGATGATTTTGAAACGATTTGGCATTGACGCCCTGGCTAATGACGACACTTAAACTCGATGACTCGCCCCAAACTCTTAGGAGGAAGAATTCCGTTTGGTCAAGGCGAGCTGCGAAGACGTTGCACAATGACAGTACGAAATCATGCGTAGCACCTAACTGGTAATTATGCGTATGGCGATGTGCACGCACCGCCGTCTTGCGCAAATTCATTTGGGCGCCGTGATAACGTCCAGACGATCACCGCACGAAGAATACAAATTGCCAAGACATTTCGGACGATGTCGCAATTCTCTAATTCCCGAGAGCGCCGACAGAATCCATTGTCTTGTCGCGATTAACAAATTGCTCTATCCTCCTTCCATGAGGATGATTACGAGAGACTTGAGTCTAGTGAGAACCAGCTGTTACAAAAACATCTAAGAAAGATAAACAATCGTAACGGAATATGATGGCAGGTAATGTTCTACAAGCATGAATCCTTTTTAATGGATAAGAAAGCAATGATGCCAACAGAATTGCCAGGTAGCGTTAAACTCCACGTCAATACCGGCTATGTCCATTAGAAACGTGACGTTCCTCCTTAAAATTTTTGTGTCACGTTCCGACTAGTTAAATAACTTATTTCACTTTCGGTCGTCGATGGAATAAATTTCCAAGGAACAGCCGAGCATCTCATCCTGTCGTGCCAAGGACAATGCGTCTATCTCTGACCTGGCCCAGTTCTCTCTCTCTCTCTTTTATTTTATGTTATATTTTATTTTATTTTATATTTTATATTTTACCATTTTATTATATTATATTTTATATTAGTTAAGTTCTATATTGTTATACTTATTATATTTATACTTACAGGGCATCAGCCCTAGTATAATAAATTTTGTCTCTCTCTCTCTCTCTCTCTCTCTCTCTCTCTCTCTCTCTCTCTCTCTCTCTCTCTCCATCTGAACTGCGATATTAATTTGACATTGTGACAAGTTACCTGTATTAGATAGAGACAACATAACCTCTTCCTCGAGTAGGATTCGCGGAGCGTCATACACACGAGTGGAAGCGTCAATTCGTGAAAGGGATTTAGCCCCCGAGGACCTGCCGCTGTCCTTGACACGCTGAAAGCGAGTCCGGGTCTCATGAGTACGAACCTTAAGGCGCCGTTGCGCAACTCGCCGCTACTCTACGCCCGTTAGCAGCCGCTTGCGAGTAGAATTAATGGTGACGCCTACGTTCTCGTGTAGTACTCGCCGTTCGGTAATTCCCTAGCGTAACCTAACCTAACGTTTTCCTCCTTAGATTTTCCTCGTAGTCGACTACAGCGATTGTGAAAATAATTTTGTCTTCTGTCCACGTGTAGGTTAAAAGGAGCGTTCCAAGTACTAAAGTATTTTTCCACGTGGACCATCTTCCCTACTTTTGTGTACTTTTGAACTCCCGCAACTTATTTTGGAAAGGATGGCGCTGAGCTGCGGAACGTAGACATGTTACTGGCAATGAATGAAAGTGAGATCTGATTTATGAATAAGTCGTGGCCTTGAATACATTAGCATCCATGGCGCAATAAGAACGAAGAAAATGGTATAACGGCGTTCCTTGCGATCGTGCACTTGGTCGCCATCGCCATAGGTCATCTGAACCCTCTCTCCGATAATCTCTCTATCTTTTTTTAAATCTAAATCTCTTACAGGTTATCTCATCGCAGAGAGGATACCGTACAGCTCCTGTGGCACTGGGTAGTTTCTTAAGCTAGCTCTCAAATCAAAATCTTCAAACAATACAATTCTTCAATAGAAAGTAAGGTATTGGTTTCCTTCAAAGAAATCTGTGACCCAATTAGTACCAGTGGTAATTCTATTGAAAATCGATCATCCGCTCGAATGTCTTTTGGAACAGGAGTATTGTAAAGAAAAGGTAGTTCTAGAAAGGGGTTAGTTGGGATCACGCGCAAATGAGCACTAACAGTGGCTAAATTAACGGACGTCTAACGTGCCAAGGTCTCGTTGTCAAATATCTATCCAGTAGATTTAATACCGTGTCCTCTTTATTGTTTTATATTCAATGTGCTCTATCCTTTGTATCGGTGTCAACTTCGTACTTGTAATTGTTTGAAAAACTTTATATACAATAGAATGACTATTCAGGTACGCGTCTGTAAGCATTTGTACTATCGTTGTTAAGTGGTACTATAGGAACTGTCATACCGTCATAGGGTCGCTGACCGGCCGATTAAGAATCATTGAAGGGCACTGGGGCCGCCGGCATCACTGCTCTCGAGGCTCATTGGGTCCCTTCGAAATCGCCCTTGACCAATATACCCGCTCGACTTCCCACGAGAAAAACAAGGCAAAACAAGACTGCTCGGTCACGCTTCGCCATTGCGCATTATGTCTCTCCAGCTCTAGCTCATTACCTTTGCCTTGCTACTTCGATGCTTCTGGAACTAACCTTTCGACCTGACCTTCTGGCGAGGTCAGAGCGATATTCCTCAGTGTAAAAACTGATGCTGTTATGTATAGGGTATAGCGTAACGGTAAGATTTTTAAAAAATCAATTTTTCAATCCGTAAATGTATTGTCTGTCTTTGAATAATGGTTGGCATTTTTTTAAGGACCCCATCCTGGCAGTTTTCGAGGATTTTTTTTGCCGAAGAATCAGTATATGTACGTATATGTCAAGGGTTGCACGAGCGACTGGTTGAAGAATGGCAATTCCAGCATAGAAACGTTCAATACGGAGGCGCCCGGCATCCCGACGCCTACGCTGCGGACTTTTCCTCGCCCCCGACCGGCGCTTCCACCCTACTCTGCTATTCGGAGTCTGCCAGGAGGAAGAAGTGGCTGGTTCTCAGAAAGGAGAGAGGAATGTTCTTGAGGATGTTTTTGTAATATTGTTTACCAAGAGATTACGCACATTTTTTATTGTACGTTGTACGTTGTACATCGTAGATTGTGCTTCATGCAGAGAGGATACGAGATCGACGTGGACGTAAGCGTTTATCAGAGAATTACGTGCTTGAGCACCCTAGTCTCCAGAAATAACGCAGACAATCGCGTGCTTGTTGAGAAAATAAATAAACTTTTAATGGCATTTACAATCTTTCTTTTTTGTAGGACGGAATACGATAGAGCTATGGTGTAACAGTGCGGAAGGAAAAGAATTCAGACTGAAAGGAAAAGCGAAGACTCTACGGAATGGCAGTGCGCTTGATCCAGTGGTTCTCGGAAGGTCTTTGGCACGCCTCTCTACGAAATTGCTGAGACTCCCGGAGGCCCAGGATGGTCCTTAGCTACGCTCATTCACATGGTGCGTTTTATGCGTCGACGCGAGAAAGGGCAGGTCAAACCAGCAGAGGAAAGGAACTCGATGCACTTTCCCACAGGGAGGCAGACAGCGATTCCACGCCGATCGCTGCAGGTTTTCAAAAGTTTGAGGACCAATAAGAAAAAAGGGCCATCGGTGGATCCTTCGAGAATTCTCGCTGCTGGCGCGTCGGGGAAGCAAGGCCATCGGATTCGGGTACAACGTCCTCCGATCTATGCGAACAAAAAAAAAAGGGATTCCCTCCACAGGGACACCCTAGCCAACCAGACTCAACCCTCGCACTGTGGGAAAAAATGTGGACCAAGCGAGATAATTGTCGGGCGTCCATTGGAAAAAGAAATTCCAAAATTTATTAGGGTCCCTTCCTGATGACGCAAGCAGGTCTAGTCACACTCGTTGACACTCTTGGCTAACATGGCGCAGATGCCACTCGAGATCTTGAAACGGTACACAAATAATTTGTCTCTTTCTCTTGCTTCTACAGTCCACCTCTGTCCTTTCCTTTCGCTCTCTCTCTTTCTCTTTCTCTTTCTCTATCTGTCCCTGTTACCACTTCTAGTTGGGGATGAGCCAACGCCCGGAACTCTGGCGCCGTCCAATAAACGTCTCATAGTTTGAGGATCGCGGATAAGCTTTCCCATCCTGAACCCCAGGAGTGCCTGCGACTGGACGAGAAAATTCCATGCTTTTGATTAATGAGGGTGCACTCGGCGAGACCAAATATTTGGGAAGGGTCCGGCACGTCCACGGGATGCAACTTGCTTCGACTTATTCACCCCCTCTTTAACCATTTCGTTTTTATCCCTTTTTCCCTACTCCTCGAGCTCCACCCTCTCTAACTTTTGTTTCTTTTCTAGATCCCTTCGAGCAAGGATCCAGGTCGACGAACTTGCCCTCCCGGGACAGAGGTATCCCTGAACTACTACAAAGGCCTACCTCAATTCCTGAACCCTTCATGGGACTTCAAGATCAAAAGCCCTCGCTCCCGACGCTACAGGTATTCTCACCCTTGATTCCTTTTACCGTGGCGGGACAAAATCCTCCCTAAGTATCTAGAACGTCAATCGAGCGGTATCAACTATCCTTCGTTTGCTTCTATTGTCCTTTTATTTTTTTATTATTTCTGTATTATTCACCTTGATCGTGATTCCAGGTATTGGGCGGATTCGTCTCGTATATCTTGAATTTACCTTAACAATATGAATAGGAAGTTTTCGATGAGCACGCATTCGCTTTCTCCGGCGTTGCCGATGTCATCATCATCGTCATCCTTGATACGAGCCATGCAAACAGCTGTACGCAGGGACGCAGAGACGCAGAGACGCACGTGCGGTTGTGCGTATAAAGTCGAGATGCAAATGGAGAAGGCAGGACGTTTCGAGTTTCGGCTCCGCCCGACATACACTTGGACGATTTCTAGATAGTTCTTATCAGTCATCCTTCCGTTTCCTTTCGACGATTCAGGGAATTTCAGCAGTAAGACAATATACAGAAATGCACTTTTCATAGTCAGAGAATCCTAATCTCTCCGGGACTAATTCTTCTTATTCCTTTCTTCATTCTTGATTTTTCTTTCCTTTATACTTCAGTATTGCGAGGCCAAGTCGAAAGAGCTGAATCGTACGAAATGATAAGGACGAGCATGAGCTGCGCACGGGAAACCGTACTTCCGGATGCAACAGGGTGACCATCGAGGACCTTGGGGTATAGGAGGCACTATGCAGACACCACGAGGGGAGACTGGCGGACAACGAAATCGCGCAGGGCAATTCTCCAGCGGAGGCGATGGTCTTGCGGGACATCCGGAACCAGGTTGGCAAGACTAATGCGACGAAGAAGGAAAGAGTGAGCAATTTAAAAGAACTATAGCATAACATAAGGAAATCAGGATTGCTCACCATTGCTTTTCAATTTGGTGCTATGTAACGGTTAATTTTTTAAATAAATTTCTTCTTCCAAATAATACATGATGCGGTACGGATTGAGTGATTGAAGGTTTGGCCGGTCAGCTGGGAGGCTGGAAAAAGTAGAAGGGTCCAGTGTGATTCTTTTATTTCTCAAACTTTAATACCATTATCGGCCGTGGTGGCAGCAGTGGCGCAAGATCATACGCAAGCACGACCTGCATTAACATTCCGTGCATTGTGCTGCAATTCGGCTGTGTCCGCGAAGGGACCTTGGCTCCGAAACACCAAGACACAGATTCCACTCTGATGCCGGGACGGTCTACCTTTTTATGGACCAGCATCAATGCTCGGGATGCGTAAGATACACGAGGATCCTCAGACTCTTACGGAGACTGTTAAGATGTTGTGTAACCTTAGAGGCACTCAGTCTCGCAGTGAGACCAACCAACAGGTCCCACCCCATAAGACGAGAAGCGTGCGCAGTAAAAAAGAAGAGAAGAGAAAAAAGTCAAATTTACAGCAGGTGGAAGATACGAATGAGCTCAAGGTTATGAAACGGAGACTGTCCAAACACCCGAATACCCGAATACCCAAATACCCAAATACCCAAATACATACGTTTAAGTGGTAACACCTTATTAGTAAATTATGCAATTTCTGATAAACCAAGAAGCGACACGTGACATTAGCCACAACGTTTCTCTTACGTTGATCATAGAAAGAGCAAGGTTGGACCAAGATACGAGAGTGAGAGTGATCATTGAGGGGGGAGAGAGGGAGAGAGAGAGGAAAAGAGAGAATAAAAGAAAAAGACTGATTCTATCGAGCGAATGAGAATTCCTGAGTGGGATCGAAGTGCCGATGATGAGATGGGTCGCAAGATGGGTTCGGGATGGGACGGGATGAGCTGGAATGGTAGAGTCACGGCGTTGGAGCGGTGGCAGTGTCGGTGGCCGCGCTCGAGGTCTCCCGGCAGATTCCAACGTGCGTCACGCGATCTACGAAGAATCTTCGACGCCAGCGGCGCCATCGACGCCATCGACGCCATCGACGCACGTCCTGGAGGAATTTGACGTCAGAGTCTTCCTCGCTAGGACCCCGTAGCGGGAAGAACAATGCAACTCTGTAGGAATAGTGGGAGCAACCTGAGGAGCGAGGTTTAACCCAGGAGTCAGGGGGATGACGGCATGTCTTCGTCGACTCAGACGTCCGTCTGAAGCGATACCAGGGATAGAAGGCGATAACCCGCGAGCTGGCAAGTACTCGGTAAACAAGATGACGAATACGACTATCGTCGTAACGCTGAGCACTGCTTTTTCGATACCTTCCAAGTGATTGGCGCTTCCCGAGTTCACGTAGCGAGTGCGTCTACGTGCGTCTACGTGCATCGTGGCATCTTGTCAGAGAATTTCATTGACCACGCGTGGACCGAGTGGATCTCTGCTACTCCGGCAGCATCCCCGCCTCTGGTAAATCCGATGAAGATCCCGTTCACCCCGATGAATCAGTCTTCGTGCTCGCAGACGCGCATTTTTCATTCATCGGCAAGGTCGTGCCTGCCGGCGTCGGTGGCGTCGGTGGCGTCGGTGGCGTCGGTGGTAAAGGACACCTTTGGACCCTCCCTTTCAAGAAGGCTTGTGACGCAACTACCGGGAAAGATCCCACGTGCTGGAAGGATACTGGTCACGCCAGGTACACGTGGCCGAACAGGCGCACGCCAGATCATCCAGAACCCATGATGATTGAGTAATTCCCTGGGTGGAACTTGCCAGAAGCTTAGAATCACCTGGTACGTGTGGATGAACATACCCAGACAGTATAGTAGATATGTCATGTAGGTAGATGATCCTTCGTGAGATCCATGCATAAACTTGGACGACGCACGTAGGCTATCCTCGTCCTTGGTCCTTCTGGTGTTTACGTGGCCTCGAGGCGTTAGACAAGCCGGAGGGTTCTTTCGCCTTTCATCTTCACGCGCGGTCAAACTCATTTATATGTATAACTATATATATATATATATATATATATATATATATATATATATATATATATATATATATATATATATCTCACACGCGTACATGCTCAGTAATTATGGAAGCACATGGGCGAAAATAGACGCCGGTACGTCAACAGACTCGCCCGACAGCCAGAGATACAAACGAGTGCCATTGCGATTAATCTTCTTGTTATTCACTTAATTTTGAGCTGCAGCACTTTTCTTGGGACAATTATGAAGTATTTCTTTTTTAAAAATATTTATCCTCATTGTCAACAGCCTTCATATTCGTTTCTATTGTCACGTTGCGTCCTCGACATGTTTACTCGAAGAAGAAGCCTCAGGACTGTCGGCCCATGATTTTACGGGAAATCTACGTGACGGACGTGCAACTTAATATCTGTTTATCAGGACGCGTACAAAAGGAATGTCCTTATAAATTCGGGTTACCTTTGCACAGGTAGAACACGTATTGATAAACGTACAAAAAACGCTAAGGGAGGATCCAAAGTAAAATTGCAATGTCGTGTCGCTCAACGTGTTTCACGAGGATCGTCCATTAATGCCTTGGACTTGGACTAATAATAATAATAGCGGCAGTTATTTACTCTTGGCAAAACGCTGAGAAGTACACGGAATCGTGTCTACGATATGTTTTCCTGTTGCCGCTGCTGCTGCTGCTGCTCACAATCGAAAGTGATTCTGGCACGGAGAGGGCTTCGACCTGTGTTTACTACCGTTTACACTGGCGACGAGAGCGACAGTGCTTCTATATCCGATCCGCGTGACGCAATCGCCTTCTGTCCAACCATGGTCAACGACCATCCTAACCAGATTCCTCATATACGTTACCATCGGGCGTACGTGACATCAGATGGTACACGAGTTCTTGCGTTGTATTGTCAAAAATGATTAAAATGGAGCATCCTTGAGATTCTCATGGTCGCGCTGTTTACGACTTTGGTAGTAATACTTGGACGGTAGATTCGTTTATTTTCATATACTATAGTTATCTCAAGTAATCCCATGCCGTATCTTTTGGATTAGCTTCCAAGAGTTTTGCTCGTTATCGATATGCATGAATGACTGGTGACATTGATTAACTTACTTGATCGAGTGACAAGGACACGACGTATTAAACGTGCACTTGCTTCTTGTGGATTCTTAGAAACGGTGTCGTTTTTTCTCCAGGTTTTCGAAGAAACTCAAAATGGCGTCCGGGCTTTGCGACGCGGTGATCGCAGAAGCAGGCATCAGTGTCAGGTGGAGCACTTTGAGAAAAAAAAGAAAACGGAAAAGGAGAGGAGGTCCTCGACCTCCGTGTATTTTACGCAGTCTCTGCCGGTCGTTTCCCTTTGAGTGCGACGTTCATTTTTTTTCTTTTTTCTTCACTTATATGCATGTACGCTACAGTCGTCGCGTGATCCGTGATCATATAACTGCGAATGATTCAAAATTTGTGGAGAACACAGTAGACGTAACTCGAGTCGAATAGGAAGCGTGGCTGACTATGGTCAACACGTCTACGCGTACCGACGCTTACGTTAAGGAAACACTCGGCGTTCAATTCGAAGATCTAAGCTGAAAATTAATACAGACAAAACTGCAACTGACGAAGTCTATCGGCATACAGCGAATATTTGAATTCCATACAGGAAATTACAGGGTCTTCCCACGTTTGTCGTTCGACAGCGCGAATCAAGGCTATGTCTTCTACCAGCGACTCTCGAATCACGCATCGAAAACTGCAGATCGATGTATCGAATTCACTGGGAAGTGCGTTAGCGCAATAATTTAAAGTTCCGCATGCTTTGGGATTTGTCCTTTTCCAAGGGTCAGGGTGCGCGATCGCTCTCGTTAGGTTGACGCCTCTGATCGAGCTGCTAATCTTTCTTGCAAAGGGGAGTCCCCGATCCGATCAGGTCGTTAACCTTCGTACAATGCAATTGCATTGCGTCGCATCTATTCCTCGGACCTTTAACGGATTAGAAAGGATATGAAGTCGGATAGCGATGCCAATGACAATGGGCGTCCCGATAGGCCGCAGCTATGCAGCTCACTTTTACTGTTGCCCGCAGGTCAGTCGAGCATTGACCGCTTGTCGGTTCAATCGAAGACTCGATTGCAAGTCCTGTGCGTCGATGCGTTGCACGCTGCACGCTGCACGCGCCTCCCGCCTCCCACCCCCCACCCACGCATTCGGCCTCGTTACGTCCTCCGGACTGCACACGAGGTTCCCGAAGCACGCTAGGAGTTCTTGCTCCAGGTTATTCCAAGCCGTGACGTCGAAAGAGAGCCCCGCGCTCCTGCAAATGAATTCCAGGTGGATTGTGTCAGCGTACGACATCGTAAGGGCGCATATGCATATGCATTACACATGGCTGCTGCATCGAATGCTAAGCCACGCGTGCCGCGAGTCTTCTCAATGAATACAACGAATACAACGAATACAAGTGAACGGCTCTAGAGACGCTGACGCTCTCTGATTCTTGACTCCTCGTCTCCCGGCGATCGTGGTCGTCATCGTTGTTGTTGTTATTGGCACAGGTGCATTGCCCCCGTCTCTCGGATGCACGCGCCTTTCCCTCGAGCACGCACAGGCGACACTTCGTACGCACGTTCTTGCGCCGATCCGGAGTTACGCACCCTGGCTACGCCCTCGGCTTTCGTGCGCTCTCCGCCGTTCCCCAGGACACTGGCTCTGGTACCAGCTCCACGGTTGCTGGTACTCAATCCCCTTGGGATCCTGACGCGTAGTCGCGGCTGTCAGCGGGTAATCGGGTGGGACCAGGAGTAATCGGGAGTAATCGGGAGTAATCTGTCATGCGCCAGAAGCTAAACGTTACCGTTAAAAGGCAAATGTACTGCGTAGTGGACAGACGGTAGGTGCGCTCTTGTTCGTTATGGGTTTTGCAATGCAGAGAACTGAGAGAACTGAGAGAACTGAGAGAACTGAGCACAGGTGGAAGAGGGACGAGGTGCTGGAATCGCTTGTGACGTAACTGAGCACGTCTCTCCTCGTCCTGCTATCCGTTGCTCTCTTATGGGTCTCCGCCTTGCGTCAGCGTCGACGCGAGGGCATTAATTTTCGTCGCCGTCACCTACGGTCCGGCAATTCGTCTTGCGGTCGGCTCCAGGAGGTCGTTGAACCGACTTGGTCGTTTAGCGATAAATTAACCGATCGATCGAACAGATCCACGGCGTTGGTTCGTTGACCTCGCGAAATTCGATTATTTTCCTCGAGCTGTCCTCTTCCACCTCTCCCTCCTTTTCGTCCTCCTCTCTTCGTCCCTGCAATTTGCCAAATTGTCAACGCACTCTTGACACTGTTGATCCTCGTCGTTCTTACTCCTCTTCTCCTGGGGCCGGTGTCAACGGCCTGAAATTGGCTTAAATTCGCTTCCCCCTGTGGCAAATTGTGTTTTCGGTCAGTCGGCTACGACATGACTGCTCGAAGGACGTATTCGCACATGAAACCTTACCACTTTGCAGGTCATTCACCCAATGTCACTTCTGAGGACGATTGCCAAGTCGATCGGCTTCCTTATCGCGTATCCAGGGTTCTCCTTCTTCTTCTTCGTACTTGATCCTGTGGATCATCGACAGGACCAAGACACCTTCGACTGATGCTTCTAACGGACTGGAACGACAAGGGGACTCCACACTGTCGTCTGGCTTGATGTCTATCTGCAAACAAAAGAAGTCAGAGAGAGAGAGAGAGAGAGAGAGAGAGAGAGAGAGAGGAAGGGAGAAAGAGAACGGGTCGTGACATTTTAGTGACAGGTTTGACAGTGGGGTTCGTTGCGCGGGGCCCGTTATTTTACCTAAATATCGCACAATGCCCGCTCGTGGCAGCCCGAAACGAACCGTTCTCGCGTACCTTCGTTCCCTACTTCCTTCATTGCCACTTTTTATACTATATATATATTTCTTACTTATATTCTAAAGGCCCAAACGTCACTGCCATCGTGACAGCCAAAGAGCTGTACAAACCCGCCACTACGTGCCCCGTGCTCGACGCTCGTCATGTCGCAAGCAGCCAGTACCGCTGGCAGTGGCCAATAACTCATTGCAAATTCCACTGTCCAAAGAATGCAGCCAATTCCTCGTAACCGATGACTTCTGGTGAGCATCCACTTTTTCGATCGACTCGATCGACTCGATCAAAGAATGCGTTTAATGCAATTTGGGCAACATCATCGTCGTCGTCGTCGTCGCTAAGTGATTTCACAAAAGTGCCAGCTCAGCCTTAAAGCGGTGGCGGGAAGCTTCGTCGTACCAGTAGTCTGCCACTATTGACTCGATAATGCGGATTAAGCGTTACATAACCTGACCTATTATTCGCAAAAATAACATGGGTGGTGAAACAGTGTAAACGATAAAAAACGAAGGAGCTTATACCACGCGCCTGCGAAATGGCCGAGCTGAGCAATTTTTACACGCTAAAATTTCCTACTATCGTCGTCGTCGTCGGCCACCCTGGAACACCGACAGCCGGTCACTCATTTATTGCCAATTCTGGATCAATTCTTCTCCAGACTCATAGACGTCCTCGTGACGTATGTCTAAATAACAATAAACTTTATGATAGCAGCTGCCAAAAGTCTCAACGAGAAGTCAAGTAACTCTGATATATATATACTGTACGTATAATCAGCGCCGTTATTGGATCCTTCGTACCGGCTGAGAGATCGTCGAAAATTTGGGCTGCGACAAGGCGGAGGTTGTCGACCCGTTGGCAGTGGTCAGTGATGGTAACGGGTCACCAACCCAAGAACCCACCGGTTCGCTCGCCCATTCGTTCGTTCCTCGATCCGTCCGTCCATCCGTCCATCCGTCCATCCGTTTCTCCGATACGTGCTCCTCGGTCCTTCACCTCGCAACCAACGACTACACATAACGCTTGATGCACGTTGTGGGCGTACGTAAGCGCCCAAGCAACTAAGTGCGGGCGTCGGTTCGACTGAGGACAAAATTCACTGAACAAGAGAAAGAAGAGAAAGAAGAAGAAGAAGAGAAAGAAGAGAAAATGGTAAATTTATTAGATCAACGGTTCGATTGATTTCTGTACTAGAAATGGATATTCTGCCGAAGCACGTGCATCACCTTGTATATCATTGTCAATGCGGAAGCTGATAAGGAAATCGGAACAGTCGTAACAGAGGAGATACTGTTCTGTCGATAACGTTATGATTTCATGACCTTACTACTATAATAGATAAGTATTATCTGCAGACCTTTTCTTATAGTCTTACATACACTCCTTCTACTTCTAGTACTCTCAACCTGAAGTAGGACGTAGATGATCGTTTCCTCTTATCTTTCATTTCTGACAGTCAAAATCCTCAAGGACGAACTTAATTGCGGAGTGACTTGAGCATCGCTTCGATAACAGCGACGTTCCCTGAAAAGATAAGAAGATATTCAATGATTTGACCCGATTGTTCGTATCGTGTAAATTCAAAGAGAAAAAGTGGCAAGTGAGGAAAAAGTCGTGAAACAAAAGTTAAAAAAAGGAGAAACAACAATAAAAAATATAACGGAGCGTCGAAATGTACTCGAGCGTCCCTGTCTCCGACGCCAGGCGTCGGTTGTCAAAGAGCGGGGTAACATAAAAAATATGGTACAGGTATCCGTTAGATTGTCAAAATTTTTATATAAATAGCAATAGATCATAAGAGGAATTAAAAGGTTGCGTGGCGAATGCATTAAACAACTTTGTATTTGAATAAAAGAGCAGGGCCCAAGAACAAAACGATACTACCTACTATGTATATTCGATCCTGTGGCGCGAAAATCCCGCTAGTCGGCCGCTACTCGCTCGCTGTCAGTTGATTCGGTTGATATCGTCTACGTCAACGTGTTCATCGGTATCACTTCCAGTTTACATATATTTTATATAGAGAGACTGTGTAGTAGGTGTAATCTAATGACAAATGATCGAATGCTTCGTCGGAGATTCGAGGGCGTATCGACGTGGGCTGATTCTGCGTACAATGTCAATCGTTTAAGGAGGTACACTTTGTTGCGACAGAACAACCTTTTCATTCGTATCCACTACGACCTAGATTCTCTTCCTTATCCATTTCACCCACTTCATCCATTTGATATGGAAGTTCAGCTACAAAGTCTTTGATAACGTTCCACGTTCACTTCGCTGAATCCTCACTTGCTGTTTACGATAGTTGAGGTTATGGCGCTGTACGTTTGCTCGTGGATATTGGCGGATTTCTAATCGACGACAACGGGGAATCTAACAGTTTTCAGTAGCGGCGATATCGTTGAATTGAAAACTGTAAGAAGCTTTATGATTAAATTGGCCGTGGTACGTGAATTTGCTAGGATTCTCTTAGTACGTGCGGGAATCGTTTAGTACCTATGGTTTCCTTTGACACTTCATTTCCTCTTCTAAATTTTGTTCTGTACTAATCGTTTGGTGGTGACACCTACTCGACTCCTCCTCGTACTCAGAGCAGGGGGTCGATTGTGTAACTCAAATGTACTGAAAATGCTAAAAGTGAATGGCTGTTCTGTTCTGTTAGCCAATCGTTGTGCTTATCTTCTTCCGACCCTAACACGCGATTGGCTAACAGCTATTCACTTTTCGTATTCTTACTACGAGTTATCGCTAATTTCTTCACCTCCGGATAAAACCTATCCTACGGATAAACTCCTAAGACACGAAAACGATTGATTAGCTGGGTATTTATCCGCAAGATTAATTTTATCCGAAGGTGAAGAAATTGGCCATTAAGTACACAATCGACCCCCAGAGTCAAAATGTAAAGTAAAAGGCGTTCACAGGGCAACGACCTCGCATGTAAACAATCGAAACTACAGTAGACTGAACGTAGCAACGTGCACGTATCGATATATACGAGTGAAGGTAGCAGCTTTCTTATCAATCGGCCAATGTCTTCGTGAACCACACCAAATCCTAAACACATTAGGATTCCTTCTAACTGTCGTTCAAGCCAATCCCGAAGCGTGTCTTGACGTCTTGACGTCTTGACGTCTTGACGTCGATAGCTTGAGGATGGTATGACGAACGACCTCCACAATTTTGGCCTCGTCCATACGTCCATAGTTCCATACGTCCAATCCACAGATGCTCATCCTGCCAATTTGGCACGAGGTGTCTCTCCTTCTTTTCTAACGGGTTTCCTCTCGCGTCTCGGTGCCTCATGAGTACCGTATAGCGTATAGAAATATCCTGACACCTTGGACGCTTCTTAGGACTTGGAGATAATTTGTTATAATTATACAAGGGCGAGTCCTTAAACTATTCCTGGCTTATGTCAAGGATCCTCGGACGTAACATCCATGCGTGTCCATCTGGCGCTCTGGGCGACTCACCCAGCAGAAGACTCAATGGTCGCTCACCTCCTGAATGGCGCGAATACGCGATCCCCATCCGCTTAGGGTGAACGACCTACGTGTTCGCTCTTCTCCGGGCACCTCGTGCCTTGGTAGAATTTGGCTGCCTGCGCTTTGCTTCGATATGCTCGAGCGTAACCTGCTGTATGATCATTAATATCGCCTGGGACGTGGACATCTTCTTCGAGGAATTCAGACATCGGGGAGCGATCCTCACCGGACAACGTCCATTTGATTAACCTTTGAAAAATATCTAAAATTAAGGTTATGTCACTCACGAGATTGAATATCAAGTTTATTCTTATTTATGGTATTTCCGATTAATGTGTAATTGTTTGGAATTTGGAATTTGGAATTTGGAATTGGAATTTATTCGAAATTATAGATTATATAATTCACTGGAAAGTTATTCATGAAAAATAGAGTTTTCCAAGCCGCGAGACGTTACGTCATACCGATATGGAAATCGTACTTGATTATTGTTTGACGTAATTAATTTAAAAATATTTCTTATTACTCAAAGTTCATCCGCAGTTATGACTTATATAATTCGTAGGAAAATTACTCATGAAAAATAGAATTTTCAAAGCTGCGAGTCGTTACGTCAAACCGATACAGGAATCGTGCTTGTGTACTGTTTTACACGAGTGAGACAGATGGACGTTTGCTCTGGAGCTTGCTGACTGCTGCTGACCTTCTGACCTGTACTCATCTGGATTACGCACGCCTTTCATTATCAAGGCTGTTCAATGTGATTTTGGCGTCCAGACGTCTATTGCACTTTCGCGGTCTCGTCTTTGCCCTCTCCTAGATGCAACTGGCTGGATATGAGCGTCGCGACGGTCGGAACCTCAGCTCTGACGCAAGAGTCCAGCAGCCGATACGCTCTGATATTATCACGGATTTGAACGCTGAGACGTAAGGGGGGACTCTATTATTTCCACGCAAAAGGCACGTCGAAGGGTCTGGGGCAAATTTAAATTGCAGCCATGTCGGAGATATTTTGAAAATCTTTTATCTTGTATCTTTTGACAATGAAGATTATTAATCTTTAGGGTCAATAAACGATGCCAAAGCGAGCGCTGTCAAGTCCAACCGAAAGGTCCTGTGCATGTTGACAATGAGAACCGAAGAAAAGTGAAGAGGCACACGGATAAGAAATCCCACTCCCGTGAGTTCCGATGGTTTGTCCGAATGTGCTGCCGCTTGGCTTCCCTTATTTGGATAGGTCGTGCCGTACCGGCCGAACGAATAAGTCCAAATAGGTCACCCCAGCCTGGCTCCGCGAGCCCAGCAAAGATAAATTCCGGTAAACTCGCTAAAGATAACCGCTAACGATATTCATAACCATCCATAAACAGCATGTTCGTGTTTTTATAGGAGCTCCCATACGGGACATCCCTTGTTAATGGGATCTGTTATCGCGGTGAAAATATCTAATTAACTCAGTAACCTTTCACCTGTAACGCTTAATCGCATTTTCAATTGGTTACAGCTCCTGCGTTTCGACGGCAAACAAAATTTTGATATAAAGTTTCATTGCCACCTTCTTATCAGTGCATTGACACTTTGAGATCGCCCAGGAGGAAGATGGAGATAATGACGTGTGAGAGCAGCGGCGACTGAGACTCCCTAAAATTATGGAGAATCCTGAAGTTTGATTGGTAACGTCTAGGCAGGTGGATTGACCTATGAAGAGAGAGGCCCGGAGGTCATCGACCTCAGTCGGGTAGGGAGATGCAGGTTAGAGAATGGAGACCCAGACAATTGGAATGTCGCCAGAAAAATTGGAGGTGTGTTTCATTGGCGGGTAACGTTCAGGTGCGTGGACAATTTTACGAGCGTCCGGACCTACCGCACCAGGTGCAACCTCGAGAGGAGGCAAAAGGACGCGGCCGCTCAGCGACCTACGGCACGAAGGGTTGGTCGGAAGGTGAACGCGTGATAGTAGTATCTGATTGTCAGTCCAAAAATATAAAAGGCTTAAAGATCAAGGGATCGACCTGGATCGTCCCCATGCGCCCGTGATCACTGCAACGATCGATCAACATAATTTCATTAAATCAGGTAGCATCAACAAGAGCCCAATCGCATGGACAAACTGTGGCCAAGACGGCCGAAAAGACGTAGCGTCGCGGCGCTCGGCCGATCGACGTCTGGTTGGCGCAGGACTCGGTGGGACGGTTCAGGCCGGCGACCTGGCGTCGCCCCACCGTAAGTCCCCGAGGGCCCCACCGTCGTCGTGGCTTTAGTTCCCCTCCTGGTGTCACGTTCCGCGGCCGCGTGGCCCTCGACCAACGAGATCGGCAACGAATCGTGTAGAGTAGAGCTACGAGATCGAGGCGATCGAGGCGATCGAGGCGATCGAGGAGATCGAGGAGACCGAGGAGACCAGGAACGTTTGAGGCTGGCCCGCCCTCGCACCCAGGTAACCCACCCCTCCGATGTATGACCCATACTCTCCCCACTGCGCGTCCACGCCTCCCCTCTCCGCGGGCCGCTGCAATCGCGGATGAGTCACTATATAAGACAGCAAGGACAAGAAGGTGTATGTTAGTACACATTCATTCTTCTCGTGGTTCGCACACGATTTGGTGCTGACCGCTTTACGCACCACTGACCTCAGATTCTCGACGCTCGATGCACGACGACGCTCGACGATAAATAATTTTAAATATTTTTATTACAAAGACATTGTCGCACGTCGATTATTTCATTGGACTCTTAGTCTCGATACGTTTCCTTCTTTTTTTTTATTATTTAATCTCTCATCTCTCTCGTCTACACATCCTTCGAACGTGAACGTCATTCGCCACTACCAGTGACCGAGATACAGCGGTGATTTTTGAATCGACTATTGGGATTGTGGCTGAAGACTTTACCTGTCGCATCTACGTCCAAGAGAAACCCGAAGATTGACTCGACATGCTCGTTGAACGCGCAGCGCAGTGGGCCTGGCAGGCCATGGGTGACACGAGGACCGACGTCTTCTACACCTTCCTGGTCTTCCTCATGGCTTTTGCCCTTGTGCGGGGCGCACAGTGGCTGCGATACATTCGCTCGTTGCCACCTGGCCCATGGGGACTTCCGGTCTTGGGCTACCTTCCCTTTCTCAAGAGCGACGTACATCTGCAGTTTGGGAAACTCGCCAAGAAGTACGGATCCATATTCAGCGCGAGACTCGGGAGCCAGTTCGTAGTCGTTATCAGCGACTACAAGACAATTCGCGATACGTTTCGTCGGGAGGAATTCACCGGGAGGCCGCACACAGAGTTCAGCAACATCCTTGGAGGATACGGTGAGTCTCACTTGAGTTTCTTGGTCACACGTGTGCTGTTAGAGGTCATTCATTCGGGATGGATTTATTAGATTCTTTTACTTCTTTTACTGGGAGACAGTGACAGTTCTTTTCTTTTCAATTTTGAATTACCTTAACGAGTCTTCCGGTGCTCTTGCAGGTATCATTAATACCGAGGGTGCATTGTGGAAGCATCAGCGCCGGTTCATTCAAGAGAAGCTTCGCAGTTTCGGTTTGACGTATGTGGGTGCCGGCAAGAAGATTATGCAGTCCAAGATAATGGTGAGTCTTTGAGATTTCATTTAAAACGAAAAAGGAGATAAATACTCTTTCTATTCGTGCGGAAGTACCTCCGAGAGTCCATCGAGCCAAAATCTTAAACCGTGCGGTTTTCCTGTTTGTCCTGCAGCGGGAGGTGGACACGTTCTTGCAAGGACTCTCTCTGCGTCGCGGTGCACCCACGGATATGTCGGGTTCCTTAGGCATGTCCATCAGCAACGTTATTTGCTCGATAATAATGGGCGTGCGCTTTCACCACGGCGAGACCAGATTCAAGAGATTCATGGACCTGATCGAAGAGGGTTTCAAACTCTTCGGCAGTATCGTCGCCGTCAATTTCATTCCTGTGATGCGATACTTGCCCTTCCACAAGACGATTTGCAACAAGATTTCCGCGAATCACAAAGAGATGGCCAACTTCTTTCAACAGGCGGTGAACCAGCATCGCGCTACCTTTGACGCCGGTAACGTCAGAGACCTGGTGGACACGTATCTTCTAGAGATCGAGAAAGCGAAGGTTGAAGGTCGCGAGGCTACGCTCTTCGAAGGAATGAATCATGGTGAGAATTTATTATTATTTTTTTTTTTTCAATTGTCATTTGACCAAAGAACATTAACTTAATAGACATCTTTTTTTTTTTTGTTTTTTTTTGGTTCAGATCGTCAGATACAACAAATTCTTGGGGACCTCTTCTCCGCTGGAATGGAAACCGTGAAGACGACTCTTGAGTGGGCAGTCATCCTCATGCTTCATCATCCAGAGGCTGCACGTGCTGTTCAGGAGGAGCTTGATCAAGTCGTGGGTCGATCAAGGATTCCAGGATTGGAGGATCAACCCTTCTTACCTGTTACCGAAGCCACTATTTTGGAAGTGTTACGCCGCTCAAGCATCGTGCCGATGGGGACGACGCACGCCACTACTCGGTGAGTCTCCTCTTCCCTTCTTGGTCTACCTGGCAATCAGCGACAGGTGCTTCAGGTGTGCGATCGAGCGAGCGTTAGATTTGGCAGGCAAAAGTGAAAGCAAAGTGGACTCATACTCGTTCCATGGGTCCCCGAGCAATCGGCACGGACCCACTGGCAACTGGGTACCTGGGCAACTGGGTGCCTGGGTACCTGGGCAACTGGGCAACTGGGCAACTGGGTGCCTGGGTACCTGGGCAACTGGGTACCTGGACAACTGGGCAACTGGGCAACTGGGCAACTGGGCAACTGGGTACCTGGAGCAACGGTCACTGATCCCGATTTCGATCTTTTATCGACAATGCGAGCTTAACTGTTCGGCTGCACCGCGTGTTAGACAAAAAGTCGAGATAATTCTTCGAAAAGTTCGATCATTCGCTGGACACAGATACTTTCGCAGGGTTTTACAGATACGCCCGTTTGATACTCCAGGCGTTTTCTCTTCCGACAGTGAAAAAGTTACACGTGGACGAGCACGCGTCGCGGTAGAAAGAGCGTGACAAGCTCGAGGACCGATCGATAGCTTTATTCAATTTTCCTTTTACTTTTTTGACTCCTTGTCTAATTATTGTCTATTTGTTAACTTTTAGCGATGTCACGTTGAACGGTTTCACGATCCCAGCTGGAGCACAGGTGGTACCGCTCCTGCACGCCGTTCACATGGACCCCGAGCTCTGGACAGAGCCCGAGGCGTTCCGACCAAGCAGGTTCCTGAGTTCAGAGGGCCAAGTCACGAAGCCCGAATACTTCATGCCCTTTGGCGTCGGAAGACGCATGTGCTTGGGTGACGTCCTGGCACGCATGGAGCTCTTCCTCTTCTTCAGCTCCCTTCTTCACACCTTCGACTTGCGGCTACCCGAGGGCGCCTCCTTGCCAAGTCTACGTGGTAACGTCGGGGTCACTGTCACCCCGGATCCATTCAAGGTCTGTCTCGTTCAAAGGACTTTAGAGGGTGACCTCGCGGACGTGGAGTGCACCGACGGCAATGGACCACTTCGCAACGTTGGTAGTCATTGAGCTTTACCAGCCGCTCTGCGGATTACGGAAAACGGTAGTTGTTCCTATCGACGCGAGGTATCAGGTCGAGAAAGAAGAAGGACGAGACAAAGAAGCAAGAAGGATGAAGAGAAGGAAGAGCCACGGAGAGGAAAAAGACCGCATTCCTACCGTACAGAACTTTCAAGTGCCCTTTTCTCTGGATCGACAGCCATTTTGGCCATTGTAACTCTATTACTGAGAGGAGAGCGAATTTCAAGATCTCCACTCTTAATCGCTCGCTCTCTCTCTCTCTCTCTCTCCCCCCCTGTCAATATCCATCTCTAGAGAGAGGGAGAGAGCGAGCGAGAGTGACAGCTCGCCCAGAGGTTTTAAAAAAGTACCTTCAGCCTACGAGTGGCATCCACGATGAACTCGGTGAACAGTTAGCGTACTGAAACACAAAGTCTCAGCTGAAAGAAAGGATGAAAGAAAGAAAAAAAAAATGTAAGTACAAAAGGAGCCCTGGACCGACGAACCTGCTCATCCATCCTGCCGCCATATTTATTTATACATTCATATTATTACCCTATTTATTCGCGTGCGCTTAGTCAATTCCTTAGTTCCTTTCGCGGAGAGACACAAACGCCATCCTCTGGTTGGCTAGTACATAGTCCTAAGGATAATCCTGGCAGTCACCTTGCCAAATCGTATCCTCGTCATTCTCTTCCTATAAACGTAATAAGTCATGTTTCTTCAGCGAGCATTAATTATTACCATTATTCATATATAATACCATCTAGCGTATACGTATTACCATCATCGTTCTTCACTTTTCATCATCACCTCCCCCTAG